TATGTGTTTCCATTCGTTACTCATACCAAAATATTAAAATATTAAAAAATTAAAAAAAAAATAATAATAATATTTTATCTGTATGACATTTCGAACAATATTTCAAACATATTTTTGTGTGAATTTGAAATAAATACAACGTCAAGTTATTTGAAATATGTAAGAAAACTATTTTTACTTACATTTTACACTAAAAATAAATGAGAATTTGGAAAATAACACATTTATGACCCAACCGCCAAAATGGAGCTTCCGGATTTTGAAGTACTTTTGGCAATACTTTTCACTTTTTATACCACAAATTATATATCTACGTGTTTACTATATTACAAGGAATATAAAAAAGTATAATACTTTCGTTTTTAGTCCAGACACAAATATAAAATTCTATAAAAAAGACGGAGCACCTTCATCAAAACGACACGTGGAACGCCGAAAGTTCAGAGTGATTTCTTTTTTTTTTCTAAGAAACATTGCCAGGTTTAATGCCATGGTTTAAAATAAAAGAGCATATCTTTGTCTTTGATACTATTATCTATTGCATAGTGTCTTTGGTTTTGTTTAAAACGAAAAAATAGTTTTTTCATAGGTACACACGTTTACATAATTCTGATCAAATTAGCGCACGACTTGGCGGACGGAAGGATGGTATTGTACGATCAAAAGTGCGCATGGCTTGGTTAACAGGTTAAGAGGTTAGGTATTACAGATGTTGTTACTTTATATAAAAACCGATATTTAGCTACTATCTAGTATAAATATAGTTAAATGTTACTTACATTAAAGTGATCTCTACACATAAAAACATTGGTATGAGCTAAAATGCTCTTTGGATCTCTTCTAACTAATTGTAACCACATCTTTCGTCTTTTGGGATTCGTTGGAACTGCAGCAAACAGTTTCTGTGGACTACTTATTGTCTTATTAGTACATTGTAGCACTACACACAATTTGTACACCGTTTAACCGAATAAATTTGAAGAAAATGATAAGATTCACTTCAGCTGCACTGTTATGTTACGGTTATTGACTCGCTCACTTGTGTGTGACGTCACACATGTCATGTGACCAGCGCCATTACAGAATCAGCGTTTTTAGCACGCTTTTGGAAATTTAAACTTTAATTTTTATAGTAAATATAGTAGAACTCCTAGAAATATCGATGTAGTGTGCTTATTATGTAATAAATAATCATTTAATGGTTTTTCAAAATTAGTCAAGTAGCCTATTCTCTTAACGATTATGGAAATGTTATTTTGTTTTAATATACTATTTTGATTTCGTACTTTAGCAAGCTTTTATATTTAAGACAGTTTTTTGAACTTGTAATTCTAAAGAGGAATGCCCACTCTTCATAGACATTTCGGCCATGGGTGCCCACATATAAAAGCATATAGATATGATAATATACAATTAAAGGAATGAAATGGTTAAGAAATTGGTTTAAAAAAAGTCGGGAATTTTAAGATATAAAAGTTTTTATTTTCACAAATACAGTTTTTTAACAACTAATTTTACCGATGTTATCGCATTTAATTTCTTTGATTTTTAATTCCCGACTTTCGGGTGCTTTCCAGACACACATGGTCATGGGGGATTGAGGTGACTGGTGTACCGAAATCAGTGTTAACTTGGAGTAACTTCAGCTTTTTAATAACTATTTATGGTCCGATCTACGCAGAATGAACTTACTGTCCTGAAGTCTTGCATGGTATGCTTGGGTTTAGTTTTAATTTTATTAATTACAGTGTCCCAAGCAGGTGGAAATACCCAGCTTCATTCTCTATTGAAATTAGAATGTTTGAATATGGGTGCAATACATTACCGACTTCAGATTGCAACGAGTCTGAATTAAATGATTCAGATGGTTCCCGTTCTGCAGTTGAATGTGATGCTGCTCTATCAAACCTTCGCCAACAATTATGACACACACGAGATGACGATGGCAACTGAAATAATATTAAATAAAAAAGTGAAAAAGTGAACTAAATAAAAATAAAATAGATTTGTTTCCTTTAAACTCAAATACATATAAAATATTTACTACTTAAATGGTAGTTACTGATTCTACATTCTGGAGGTACATAGTAATTGTATTCACAAAAAGACATACCCGCAATGTTGATGGAACTGTGAGTTGATTGGAATAGTTACAACCAGGAAAAAACATTGATTTTGTGTGAGTGGTGGTCTTACAAAATTAGGCAGCAGTATATTGTACGATGTATGATCTAAGCTTTGTTGTTCTAGGTTCAATATATTACTCACTTTAGATTGCAACGAGGACGGACTAGATGATTCAGATGGTTCCCGTTCTAAAGTTTAACGTGATGCTGCTTTATCAGTCCTTTGCCAGCAATCATGACACGCGATGACGATGGCAACTGAAATAATATTAAATAAAAAAAATAAGACAAAGTGAACAAAATAAAATAGATTTGTTTACTTTAAACTCAAATATAGGTAAATGTTACTTAAAACTTAATGCCCTATATTTTTAATAATTAAGGACTGACTGCCTACCAGTAGTACAAAAACAATTAAAAATCGACTTTCTCATTTCTTGGTATTTGATAAAAATTGTCCATTTTGTAACTATCTGGTGTTAGCTAGCTAATCTTATCGCCATGTTATAAATAAGCTATTATGTTTGTCAGATATAGCTTGTGCATATGTTAAAAAATAAAACAACTTCATCATTTCATTCATTCATCACTATCAAATATCAGCACTAGAATTATTAAATTAAAACTGTTAAACACTTACTTTTAACTGTTGTCACACTATAATGTGATCGACAATCTCACTTCATATGAGTTCTTGAGAATTTATTTGAAAAATAACAAACAAAATAACACAATTGCGACTATTTAGTTGTGAATTCTCTAGTATCTTTTTACTTGTTGAATTGTGATTTCATTTTCATTCCCAATTCGCATGACATATTTCCTAGCTGTCAGATTTGATGTTGCCACATAACTAACATAAATACACAGTTTAATCTGTGCATAAATACAATGAAACGATATCGATTTTTATTCGATTAGTAATTTAATAAAAAAAGTAATATATGAGGCGCTTTAAGTTCTACACGCTTTTTAAAATATATTTTCTTTTATTTATTTAAATTCTTTTTTCAATGTATTTTTAAGAACAGTTAAAATGTGGATTAGCGTATTATCATGCTCTAAACAGTTCATGGTGAATCAGCTAAAAATTCACTTCTATAATTATCATAACATGATTCCATTTTAAATGTATTGTTAAAACAGATAACAATTACTGTTAAATTGTGCGGCAGCATTTTGTTATACTCTAAAGAATTCATAGTAAATCAGCTAGTAATTCGCTTTTTTAATTATCATAACATCATAATATCGATTCGATTATTATTCGATTAATAATTCCATAAAAAGAGAATAATCTTGGAGGTGCTTCTGCTCGCTTTTTAAAATGTATTTTCCTTTATTTATTTAAATTCTATTTTAAGTGTATTTTTAAACAATAACAATAAAATAGTAGTAAACCACAGCACTACTCTCCATCCTAATGACGACACTGTCGCGACTGGACGACAACGGCGTAGCTGACCTTCCTTTTTGAAACATTCTTAGAATGTTGTGTATCGATTTCAAAATCGATCTAACCGAAATATACAGACATCGATTCATAATATTTTATGTGTCGGGGAAGGCGTAGGCCAAGTGACGCACAGAAGAAAAGTCTTACACTCTTATGACAATGGGGATTTGATATGATGCTGATGCTGCTAGATGATTTTGAGACTGAGAAAGAAAATGGCACAACACAAAATGAAAAATTGCTCTTCACACCCTAAGTAAAAAGAACATTAATTGTAATTTTGTACTATTATTAAAAAAGGTACATAATTATTCATTAATCAACAATTGTATATAATTATTCGCACTAGGTAAATCAGCCTTATAATACTAAAATCTTGGTCATGGAATAAATAAACATATTTGTTCACCAATCAATCAAAAAACACCATTGAGCTGAATTTTTGATAGTTTTCAAGAAATCTATGCCACCCGCGTTTGACACTAGCGGTCAACCATAGACCACTTTGGCGTGCAGGACATATTATTTGCTTAGATAAAAATCCATTTTTATTAGTTCAATGTTTCTTAGTACTTGTGGCTCTAGAAGACTTGTTTTTTATACTCACATGTTGCTGGGTTATTCCTATTTTGAGGAGTGTAGAATTAAAATACCTGTAATAATTTTCCAATATCTATATTTCATATTTTTCGGAGCCGGGTTTTTGTCAACTATAGACGTCGTTGGCGCTCAGGGCCCGCAGGTGTTGGTCAAGTATAGGCGACTTTGGCGCTCAAAAGGTTAAAGGATTCATGGTAAATCAGCTGGAAACTAACTTGTTTCGTTATCATAACATGATTCTATTTTAAATGTATTGTTATAAACAGATAAGAATAACTTAACCGATCTTCTTTAAAAACAGATAAGAATAACAGTTCTTATCTGTTTTCAAAGAAGATCGGTTAAGATTAACAGTTAAATTGTGCCGTAGCATTTGTTACTCTCTAAAGAATTCATTGGAAATCAGCTAGTAATTCGCTTGTTTAATTATCGTAACATCATAATTATTTAAAAATTATATTAGCACTGTAATGATGACACCGTAAATAATCGATCGAAAAAAGAGAATCGATTTTTTAAATGTGTTTTGTGATTGGCAACACTTTTTTTTATTCACAAACTAATGACATAATGATTTACCTAATTTTTATTATTATGTTTCCGGTACTTTTAATTTGTGCAAAAATATTCCCATTGTTTGAGGATAAATGAATACCGCGATTAATAACCATAAATAAAGATATAATTTTTTAACAAATTCACATTGTTGGGCGTTCCATGGCCGAAAATGGGCGTCCCCCTTTAACGTATATTGTCCAGTTTAAAAGAAACAGTGAATTTAATTGATGTATAAAAAGCGAGCAATGTATTGGTTGCAGAAGCAGTGAGGCGACTACTGCGAGTGGTGCGATCGAGACGGGTGTGAGTGTGAGCGAGAGGGTGAAGTTGCTGCGCGAGTGGCAGCGTCACACTAGCGCCGGTACATACAAACGTTATTATATAGTATGGATATACTGTTCTTACTTCTCTCATCTAGGTGTGAGGGTGAGCGAGAGGGTGAAGTTGCTGCGCGAGTGGCAGCGTCACACTAGCGCCGGTACATACAAACGTTATTATATAGTATGGATACACTGTTCTTACTTCTCTCATCTAGGTGTGAGTGTGAGCGAGAGGGTGGAGTTGCTGCGCGAGTGGCAGCGTCACACTAGCGCCGGTACATACAAACGTTATTATATAGTATGGATATACTGTTCTTACTTCTCTCATCTAGGTGTGAGTGTGAGCGAGAGGGTGAAGTTGCTGCGCGAGTGGCAGCGTCACACTAGCGCCGGTACATACAAACGTTATTATATAGTATGGATATACTGTTCTTACTTCTCTCATCTAGGTGTGAGTGTGAGCGAGAGGGTGAAGTTGCTGCGCGAGTGGCAGCGTCATACTAGCGCCGGTACATACAAACGTTATTATATAGTATGGATATACTGTTCTTACTTCTCTCATCTAGGTGTGAGTGTGAGCGAGAGGGTGAAGTTGCTGCGCGAGTGGCAGCGTCACACTAGCGCCGGACATACAAACTTGTATGATAACCCCTTAGGGTGAGCGGGTGCTGCCGCGTCACACTAGCCTCCGTTATAAGAGAAGTTCTTCCCCCGAGGCGAAGGGGCCCTCACACTAGCGCCGGTACATACAAACGTTATTATATAGTATGGATATACTGTTCTTACTTCTCTCATCTAGGTGTGAGTGTGAGCGAGAGGGTGAATTTGCTGCGCGAGTGGCAGCGTCACACTAGCGCCGGTACATACAAACGTTATTATATAGTATGGATATACTGTTCTTACTTCTCTCATCTAGGTGTGAGTGTGAGCGAGAGGGTGAAGTTGCTGCGCGAGTGGCAGCGTCACACTAGCGCCGGTACATACAAACGTTATTATATAGTATGGATATACTGTTCTTACTTCTCTCCATCGCTTATCTAGGACAACGGTTAGTGTAGCGGTAGCGGAGTTACGGATGAACTTATACACTGGCGATAAACATCCATAGTTTGAACCCTGGCGCCGAAAAGGAAAATAAAAACATTTTTTTTAATTATTATATTGTAACCTGAAGGAAGTCAATAAAATGTAAAAAAATTCTGCGGGGGTTGCCGTCTATTACTGAACACAGATTGTTTTTTACATTGTCACACTTGTGATATCAACTATCACTATGAATGCCTAAATATAAATAAGGAGCAGTTTGTATCGCTTTCGAAGGAATTTCGTTCCTCTTGGACTTGTCCTGCATGTGTGAATTAAACTTAAGCACACCTGTACGTCACAATCAGGTACTATCTATGGAGCAGTCTATGGACCTATCGTGCGAAATTCTGAACAAAAGTGAGGCGCACATACCGTCAGATTCGGTCTCCATCGAGAAATTTAATGAACTGCTTAATACTATCAATTTGTGGCGTAACGACATGAAATCTAACGTAATGAGTATTAGAGACGAAATTAAGAATGATATGAACTCTATGAGTATTAGAGAAGAAATTAAAAATACCTACCTTAAGCGACATCCAATCCGAAATTAAGTCTCCCCGAGAGGAGCATGCCACCTTGAGACAAAATGTTTCAAATATAAACATTGAATTATCGTTCCTTCAAAACTCCATTCAATTTCAATCTGACGAATATGGTACTTTGAAACAAAGAGTCGATGAAATCGCACGTGTTGCTAGTGAACAGACCACATCAACAATTGCAAGACTACAGTACAGAATCGACTCCCTGGAACAACAAGCCAGACAGACAAATGTTGAAATCTGTAACGTACCGGAGCGTAGAAATGAAAACCTTATAGGTATCATCGAAGCCATTAAAACAGCACTCTGCTTCCCCATTTCAAAGGCAGACATAGTGTCTATACATCGGGTTCCTCACGCACACAGCACAAATGATAGACCTAAAAACATCATTGCTAAATTCAGCACACGTATACAGAGGGTCAATATAATTGCAGCATATCGTAAAGCAAAATCACTGAGGTCTGATCAGCTCGGCATTCATGGCCAATCTAACACTATATATTTGAATGAACACCTTACACTACAGAAGAAACTGTTATTTCGTAAATGTCGGGAGGTTGCAAAGGAACTTCATTACAAATATTGCTGGATCAAAAACTCAGCCATTCTTGTTAGAGACAAAGACGATAGTCCAGCACTGGTCATCCGAGGAGAAGACGACCTCAAAAGACTTCGAATCACTAAAAGGAAGTGGCTGTACTAATTCGATAAGTCTAGTAGTAATTATATTTATAACGTTTTATTACTTTTTTATGTATTTGATTGATTTCCTCATCTGCACTGACTGCAGTTTTCTCAATGCTAGCTTAAAAGAACAAACGAGCGACTTACCCGTCTGTCTGAGCAATCAGGAATATTTCTCACTATTTTTCAATTTATAATTATAACACAAATCTTAGTCTCATCAGATACTAACTATTAAAATCTGGCTTTCTACTGTACAATAAGGCACAAATTTATGCTAAAAATAGCTCGTGTTTACACTCAACACTATCTTAGCAAAACGAACGTATACAATGCCCTTTTTTTAAATGAATAACACGACTCAAACAAATCATCTTAGTATTTATTATCAAAATTGTAAAGGTATAAGGACCAAATTAAACACACTTTACATGAATATCTTATCTAATAATTATGATGTTATTGTTCTCACTGATACCTGGCTGCTTCCGGACATTAGCAACGGCGAATTTATAGATCAGAGGTACAGTGTGACAGAGACCGCTTAGCTACCAACAAACAGGATGGTGGTGGTGTTCTGGTGGCGGTGCTGCGTGGACTGAAACCTGCTATATTTAACACCTCTAAGCCGGATAAATCTCTGCACTCTAAGCATCTTGAATGTTTACTGGTCGAAATTCCTAGTACAAGCCAAATTAGGAAACATGTAGAAACTAGTATTATTTCAATGTGTAGTGTTCACGTAAATATAAGAAATCATTAACGAAACATGTAATTAGTGCAGCGTATATTCCGCCTCACAGCTCTCCGGATACATATGAAAAACACTTTGACCTGTTACTTGATTGCTTTAATGATCCTCTTATTGATACCTTTTATGTGATTGGTGATTATAATATTCCTGATATGACATGGGTTCCATCATCATCTTCCACTTCTGATTATTGTAACCAACCTTTACCGTTGAGTGGATCTGGATCAGCCTATACACATTCCTTGTTGTTGAACTTTATGGCATTTCTAAATGCATCGCAATATAATGGAATCTTTAATTCTAATGATAAACTACTGGACCTTTGCATCTCTAACACCTCATCTATTAGTAGAGTACCAACGGATCCACTACTTCCTCCTGATTCCCATCATCCACCTTTTATTGCGATTACTGATATACATCAGACGTATAAACCAATGAAGAGGCGCCCTCTAACCAAGTATAACTTCTGTTACGCAGATTTTGACCTCATTAATTCCAAGCTTGAAAAAACAAATTGGACGGAACTACTGCAAACGCTTCCATCTGAAGCCTGCATTCAAACCTTTTATATGACCATAGATGACATCATAAAACAACGTGCACCACGTTCTAGTTCTCGCCCCGAAGGATTTCCTGTCTGGTTTTCACGTCCTCTGATTAAAACATTTAAATGTAAACAAAAAGCCTGGACTAAGTGGAAGCAATATAAAATCCAATCCAATGCAAACAATGTTATCGTAGGTATATGGACACTGTAGAGGAAAATATAACTAAAAATATAAAACACTTTTGGACCTATGTATCGAGTCGCAAAACTGAGACTAAAATTCCGTCCACTTAGCATTGCGATAACCTTAAATCCAGCGACCCCGAGACGGTATGTAATATGTTCTCTGACTTCTTTCAATCAGTGTTTGGCCCTCTCCCCCTTCTCTTCCGCATTGGCAGCCTCCATCTTGTACCTCAAGTCACGATATTTTAATTTCTAATATTTACTTCACTGAAACTGAAATTCTAAACGAACTCAAAAATTTAGACACTTCCAAGGGTCCTGGTCCAGATGGCCTTCCTCCACTCTTTTTCAAACAAACTGCTGAAAATATTTATAAGCCTTTGCACATTATCTATAATAAGTGTTTGTCAGAGTGTGTTTTTACTAGGAGGTGGAAAGATGCAAATATAACTCCAGTTCATAAAAGTGGATCAAAACATGATGTTGAACAGTATCGCCCCATATCTATTCTTTACTAGGAGGTGGAAACATGCAAATATAACTCCAGTTCGTAAAAGTGGATCAAAATATGATGTTGAACAGTATCGCCCCATATCTATTCTTTCCGTCTTGTCAAAGGTCCTCGAAAAATTAGTCCACAACCAAATTTACCCGATTCTACACAGGGCTATCATTGAAGAACAACATGGTTTCGTTAAACATAGATCTACTACTAGTAATCTACTTACCTTTACGAATAATTTATTTGCAAGAGATGGATGCATGGATATCAGTCAAGGGACGTTTTGGTTACATCGGGCGTTCCTCAAGGATCTATTCTTGGACCATTGTTATTTATTATTTTTGTTAATCATATAGACAAATGTTTTTTTAACTCCAATTTCCTATTATATGCGGACGACCTGAAAGCCTACAAAATTATTAAAAATATGGAAGACTGTATATCTTTCCAAAGCGACCTTGACAGATTGACAACATATTGCAACATTAATAAATTACAATTGAGTATTCCAAAATGTCATTATATAAACTTTACGAAAAAGAAAAATATTGTCCATTTTAATTACATCCTTTGTAAAATGTCCTTGGCCAAAGTGACAGATGTAAGGGATTTAGGGATTCAGTTGGACTCTAAGCTACAATTAAGCATCCATATTGATAAAATAGTCAAACAAGCTTTTAAAATGTATGGATTTGTTATGAGATCTTCTACTGACTTCAAACGAACAACCACATACTTATACCTCTATAAAACTCATGTTCGTTCCCAGCTTGAATATGCTGTACCTATATGGAATCCCTACTATAAAGTATACAAAGAAGCTATTGAAAAAGTCCAAAATAAGTTTTTGCGTGCCATGTACTATAGATGCCATAAATGGGTGCGTTTGGCAGAAAAAAGCGCTAGCAAGCGCTAACAAGCGCTAAAATAGTTTTCGGCCAGGACACGATTGCTACTTCAGTAGCGCTGACACAATCCGCCATTTTGCTTATTTAATTTGTTTATTTTGAAGTAGAGTTTATAAGTTGTTTTGAGCAATATTAGTTTTAAGTAATATAATGACATGAATAGACATATACGTGTTATTAAAATTCATGATTGGTAAGTTTTTAATATGAATACTTTACAAACATATATTTAAATTAGGTTAGATTCCCCGGTTAAAACTAACATCGTGTCCTGGAGGAAAATAACTACTTACGATTTGACAGCGGTTACCGCTTACGATCGCCATTTTGCTTACAAGCGCTTGCTAGCGCTTTTTTCTGCCAAACGCACCCAATCTTTCTTGTTTCGTATCCCATTGCTGAGAGAGTTTGGTGTTCTGTCGCTTGAATGTAGACGCAAATATCTTGAAGCTATAACATTGTATAAAATAGTGAACAACAAATTTAGCAGTACTGAGTTAGTTTCCAATTTAAATTTCGTAGTTCCTAGAAGTGCTCATATACGAGCTGTGCGCACTACGTAACTTGTTCGCCATCAGTACATGTCGGACAAATCTCGGCTTGCGCGCGCCAGTTCGCCGTCTGATGCATTTCTATATCGAGTTTTTCAATGACGGTGACATACATTTGTTTACACGGAATATTCCTGCTTTTAAAAGATCGATATTTGAAAAACTAAAAATGTCAAAATAATATTATTATGGGCTTTTGTATTTTAGTTTTTAGTTATTAAGTTTTTATTCAGCGTCCGCGACAATTTAATTAACATTGTAAGTAATATGTGGATAGCGTTGTGGGCTACATTATTGTGAATACATCATGTATTTCATCACGTATTTTAGACATTACTGTATTTTGTAGCTGTTTGCTGTTCCTTAATAAATGAAATAAAAATACTTACGTAGCTTCAGAATCTGAAGCATATGGTAATATATAATGTTTGAAATAATAAATTAGTATTCATACGTTAAGTTGATTATAATATTTTTTGAATTTCCTTGTTGTTTCTGTGTACAGCATTGGATGAATATCTCGGGAAGAGTCAGGAAACATTCAGCGGCATTTTTAACAAAAAAGCTTACAGTCATGTTTGGTATGCGATGGATCAACACAAAACAAAATAAAAATAGGTTAATAGTGATCACTTCATTTCTAGGGGTTATTATATCTATAATTTTGTTAATTTTTAATAAAAGTTTTGAACTTTGAGTAGGTTTAATTGTGTACGTCTGTGTTCGTTGTGCTGTAAGAAAGCTGTGTGTGCAGAATGTTTTGTAAGAGCGCCAAAATTTAGCAAGATGTTGATTGCCGACGGATTGCTGCTCTTGTTTTACTATACTGTTGTTTATTTAAATAGTGGTTGGAAGTAGATTTTGATATGTGGGGTGGTTTTTTGTATTGAATTTTTATTTATTTTTTACATTAGCATAAATAGAAACGATAATAGAAGTGTTCCGATGGTGATGTGAATTTCAAGATTATATGTTGGTTAGGTGCTTTGAGATACTATTGTTATCGATTGTTCATTTGAAGGCTCCTGCTGCGTATAAAAGTTGAAGAAGTAAATTAGTAGATAAGTGTGTGTTGGTGTGGGTTTCCATAGTAATATAAATGTATTTTGGTGTTATGATATGTTTAGTTTATAAGTGGTTATAGTGTTCTGTATACGGTTTATAATGTGAAGTGGGTACTAGTTCGATTAGTTTATTTGTAATAATTGACGTATAATGTTGTACGGTTCGCAGAGCTGTGCGCGGCGTGGCGCTGCGCGAGCGCGCTGCGCGTGCGCGCCGCGGCGCCGGTCAGCGCGGGCGCGTGGCGCGCGTACGTGGCGGGCGCGGCATGGGGCGGCGCGGGGGGCGCGGCACAGCCGCTGCGCCAGGCGCTGCTCGCCAACTCCACTGGGTACTGCGACCACACACTCAGCCCGCTAAACTAAACCCTAATCACTACACATATCCAGCTTATTTCATACTTCTTCCCAACACGCAAATATTTTTCCGAACCACTAATAAAAGCGAAAACCTATTTTAAATATCAATAACATGTAATCTATATTAAATAAAAAGTCATTCCATTCTATTCTATACTACCTCACCACCAAATGTTTTTATTCACACAAAATATGCTATGCTGTGTCCCTGATGCGAATATAACGTCCTACTAACAACAAACATCTTAAACAAATTAGTTACTAAAATAAATTTCTTAGTCCTCATTTACTAACAAACAAAGTTTTTGGGCATCATCTGATAAAATCCTAAAACAACTACTAATTAAACACAAATATAAATTGATATCATATTGTATCATTATAAGTTGAACAATCTGATAAAGTAACTTTTCGCACCAAGTATAAAAGTTTATTATATGAAATTTTTCTAAATATAAACATTCATATCATTTCACGTTCACATCCACGTGAAGCGCAAAGAAAACCACCAGGTTTCATCTTTCTTTTCTTTATAACATGTGTACCACAATATATTTCTTTACTTTATAACATGTGTACCACAATATATTTCTTTTCTTTATAACATGTGTACCACAATATATTTCAGAAAACAAATCGCCTAAACACAGATCTATATACTATACCTAACTTCGAGAGTTGGTTTATATATTTATCCCTTTCTTTTTGTTTAATGTAACATAACAATTGCATTATATTAGTTCCTTACTAAAACAAATATTTCTTGTACACTTTTGTTAATGAACCACAAAATGTATACGTGATAGAACCACGCTACAGCTATGTTATGGTTATAACACAGATGGGTCGGCTCGACCGGGGCAGGACCACGCTCTCACAGAATACCAGCGTCAAATAGCAGCTTAATGCTGCTGTGTTTCGTATGGTGAGTGTAGAGATCCGGAAACCCTTTTTTACTGAAAACAAGGCATTGCGTCTTAGTCCCCAGGGGTGACAACGCATCTGCGGCCATAGGCCACACTATCCACTTAGCATCAGGTGGACTGTGTGCCCGTTTATCACCCTTATTCTATAAAAATAACTTTACGCAGCTCATTTTCTCAATAGTGTTGCCACTTTAGCGACTTTGTCGCTAAATCTAACGACTTTTTTGTTAGTTTAGGGAGTTCAATTCAATGTTTAGCGACAAAAAAATTCTGGCGACATTTAGCGACATTTGCACAATCTGTACATACTTCAATTTTTGGTACCATCTGACAACTTTAAGCGTAAGGAATATACTCTATCCACTAACGAAATTATAAAATGTAAAGGAACCGAAACAAAGGTTCTTTGGATGTCGCTTTTACAAACACATATAAAACATCACAACAATATTCCTAATGGAAAAATGTTATGTTATTTATTTGTAATAGGTAATCCTGTTACAAATAAATCACATAACATGTACTTCATCAAAATATCTTGCTTTCAAAATTAAAATTAATAACAACGTAACATACGTATGAAATAATTTTAAAATAAAAATGAAACGTCTTATAAATCCTAAAGCAACTAAAAGTCAAATAATCGTTTTACACAGTACTTATTTTAAATAGTATTATTTAAAGTATTATTATTAACTTATTTTATGACAATAGAGAATTATTATTAAAAGTTTTATTTAAAATGAGAATAAGCTATTTCCTAATTTGATCGGATTACACCTACCACGTTGGTTTCACTCTTTATTTGTTTACATTTTATCTGTTTTATTTGCTTTGATCGGGACTTCCTCGATAGTTATATTCATAATATTCATTCTTGTCACTTTAGTCTTGTTGCGCGCAATACTTACGTAAGTACGTTTAGTGTTTTTTTTTAAATCTCCCGTGTATCTAATTTTATTTGTTTCCATTTAAAAGTGATTGCTTGTTATTTAATTAAATTTATTATTAATCAAGATTATAAAATGAATGTACCGCTGAAGAAAAAAAAACCTGCAGTCAAAAATTCAGAAAGGAATGGGAAGACGAATTTAAATGGTTAAAACCGGTGACGACCGACGATGCAAAAACATTTTTTCATGCCCTACTGAAATGTACAAATGTATGCGAAAAGTAAGTAAAGTTAGAATTTTAGTTCTTTTCATATTATATATATATATATATATATATATATATATATATATATATATATATATATATATATATATATATATATATAAGATTATATTTAGCGACATTTGGAGACTTTTTCTGTTACTAAATTCACTTATAACTAGCGACTTTTTGATGGCAGTCTAGAGACCTTCACTAATTCCATGTGGCAACATTGTTTTTTAACTCACTACGATGACCATTTACTGTTTGTTCTATGTAAGATAAACTATTTTAATATTCACTTAAATATTTCCCTAAAATGGAGAAGATAACAAGGTTACAATATTAGACTTTTAAGTACGTAGGTAAAGTCTAGACCAAACACATAATTCTAGTTTTTATTTCACATCGATCGGTGCACTGTTACCGAAGTTATAAGCGTGGAAGGTTTACGTACATTTCTAAAATCTCGCCCGTGCCCGCGAGTAGCGCGTGACGTCATCGATTCCATGCGGCCGCGCCGCCATACCGTTCCAGCGCGCCGATCATACGTTTGTAGTAATATTTCGCGGGTGAGTTGTTTGCCCCCGTGCGCTCTGGTGTTTTTAAGTATTTAATGATGGAAGAAGGGTTTCAAAAGGGTTAATCTGACAACCTTCCAATAGTCCGTGACATGATGGTGGCGGAATATTTTCTAAGAAACAAAGATTTTGTTGCGGCTGAAATACGCGGAGTCAAAATGAAAAGGTAGGTATAATAATAAGATAATATTTTTATAACCTAGGTACCCATTATTACATTAATACTTCTGGGTTTCATTTGCTAACGATAAGAATAGGTTCAGCCTCTCGGTCTCGTCTGTGCGGTGGCTGATTTCAGCCAGTAAAAAATTAAAATTAAATTTATTTAAACACGCCATTAAAACACGGTCGCATTTCGCGGCTAAATTCGTTTATTTCTTTATCTTTCTCTGTGGAATAAGACCGTGACTATGTTCATTATGAACTTGGCTGTATGATATACGTTACTACTAGTAACGTCTATAGAAAAAATAAAAAGAATCTTGTCATTGTCATTAAAGTTCCGTTGATTTCGTTGAATAAACGTGTGATAATTTTGCTTTTAAAATTGTGAATTACAAGTTATTATATCGGATATCATGGAAAATACAATGGATTGGCAAGTTATCTATAATTATTTATGTACTTTTCGAGGCTTGTTGGCAATTTTCAATAAAAATTTTGTAATTAAATTTGACTCAGTCCTAGGAATGACCACCGTAATGTCGCAAGTTTTTACTTTTTAAGTGACCTAATTGCTTCCTGTGTCAATATATTCTGTGCAATATATTGTGAAACTAATATTTAAGCTAAATACGAAAGCGCAAAGTATACTTTGATGTAAAAAGTGAGAAATTGCTTCAAAGTATGTAACGGTCGTTAAGTGGCTAATATAACCAAGACCTATCATGTGAAGGTTATTATTATTTGAATACTTACGTCGAAATGATCCTCACAACAAAATGCTACCGTGTTCGGTCCTAAAGGATGTGCTCTTCTCATAACATTTGTCCATTTTTTTCTGATGGTAGGGTTTCTAGGCACATTAAAAAACAACTTTTCAGGTGTTTTTGTGGCCGTATTTTTACATTGAGGCACAGCACAATATTTAATAGATGGTGTCATGTTCTACTATAATGTTTCTTTTTAAAAATAGATAGATAGATCCGCATGCGACGGGCACATTCGAGTAAATGTTTTGATTTTCTAAGTGCGCGTCGGGTCGCTCGCACGAAGATGGAACTTGTGACGTCATCAACGATGTCGCGCTCGGCCCGCGGCTTAGATCGAAAATGTTAACTTTGTGCCTTTATATCTCGGTCAGTTTTGAAGATAGAAAAAATTTAAAAACACAGTTATTCTCATAATTTTTTGTAGAATTTTTTGGCATATAAAACAAAAAATGGTTATCTTCTCCATTTGCTTCGATCGACGTTACGGAAATACGCCATCTAGCGTCGTTTGTAGTTATCACCTTGAAAGTCAATAAATATTTGTTTGATAAAATGAGTTTATTAGCATTCTGCCGTCAGAGTGGTTGGTGGTTGCACGTGTTTTTGTATTGGAATAAGTTTTTAACCCTTTTTCCATTCAAATTGGTATAAAACCTCTCAATGTTGTGTGTTGTCCCTGTGTGTTCTGTTTGTTAGTAGGTGAGTAGTATTTTATTTAGTTAACGTGGATCTGTGTGACGACGATGGAGGTTGACGGAGGAGATGCTGAACCACCGGATTTATCCGATGGTTCTGGCCCTGCTAAACGTAAACTCACAGATTTCTTACCATTACACAACTACCCTAAGAAAAAATAGGGCGCGAAGCCCTTCTGCCTCTTACTAAAATACATACGTACACCCTGACTTCCAAGATAAAAAAATTATGTAAATAGCGATAAAGACCCATTCGTTATACATTTAAGCCGCTCAGAACCTGGTCCATCAGCAGGTTATATATATACAATTAGACCTGTGAAAATTGGTCATATCCTTACTCTAAATAAAGTGGTCAATATTGAAAAACAGGGTATCAAAATTTTAGGGCGCAAAAAATTTTCAATTGCTTTTAAAACTGCTTCTGATGCTAATAATTTTATTGATTCTGAGTTTCTCTCGCAATATAAACTTTCTGCTGTCATTCCAACTTTTATTTTATTTATTTAAGTTAATTTATTTATTTATTTATTTGTTTATTTATTTGTTTAAAACACAACTTACAACTATCATTACAGGTTACTACCTAATTCGATAGTGAAGCACACATCAGTAAACATATATATACTTATAACAAATACCTACTTATAACAAATAACATATAATGCTATCCTTGTGAACTCATTTGGCGTAAAATAAAAATATCTGTCTCCTCTGCTACAAGGTTGAGAGTGCGAAGTGCCCGTGTCAGCGGCGCCTCGTTCAATAAATTAGTGCGACCACGAGGTACGGCCAGCAGGTGAGGCCGACGTCGTCGCCACACATATCTGTCCGGCACACACAAACACAGTAAACATAATATATCTGCGTGATGTACCTTACCCCTAATTAACTTAAATAAATATGACACAAGCGTGAGCTCCCGCCTGACTCGTAGTTCGTTGTATCCCACCATGCCCAACACAAACAAAGTTGGATACATAATAGGATAAAAAGGATACACTCCATATAGCCTAAAATATAAAAACCTAGTAAATTTGTTTTAATGTAACTCATATGGTTGTGACCAGGGGTACCCCGACTGACATCTCTATGGAGTAATAAGTGGGCGGGTCTGAGCTCCCTCCTGGAGAAATCATTAATGCCAGAAGACTTAACAGAAAGGTCAAAAAGGGCGATGAAGTGGAGTGGGTTCCAACTCAAACTGTTGTCCTCACCTTGTCAGGACAAGTGCTCCACTCCCATTTGTATTGCTTTTATGCTTCCATACCAGTTGAAACTTACCTTCTTCCTACCATCCAATGTTTAAAATGTTGCCGTTTTGTACATGTCAAAGCCCAATGTCGATTGAAACCACGATGCTTTAAATGCAGTAAAGAGCACATCGGAGAAAACTGTTCCACAGATTCCCCAACCTGTCTTTTCTGCTCTGCAAATCATACCTAAAAATATACCAGACCTGTCCATTTGCATTGATAATACTCTAATCCCCACTGAAAATCAAGTGAAATTTTTAGGAGTTATCCTGGATAACAAAATTTTTCATTTATCATATATTGCCTTCAAATGTAAAACAATCTCAATGTAATTCGATCTCTATCAGGTGCTTGGTGGGATTCTCACCCCTACTCACAAAAGCTTTTATACAATGCTCTAATTAGAAGTCACTTTGATTATGAGTGCTTTTTACTAAAGCCATATAGCAAAATGACTGTTAATACCTTGGACAAAATTCAGTCAAAATGTCTACCTATAATAACTGGTAGCATGAAGTCCACTCCCATTCTCGCTCATCAATGTGAATGTGTTGAGCCCACCCTATCTTTACGCAGGCAATATCTCTCAGATAGGTTCTAATTCAAAATGGCAGGTTATTTACTCCATCCTCTCCTTTCCAAACTTCATTCCTCGTATCGGTTGGTCAGGTACTCTTCATATTGATCCCACAAGGATTTGCCATGCATTATAAAAAGCTATATTAAATTGCTCAGCATTCTCTCTCCAATTTATCAATCCAGACATTATTCTAAATATCGGAATAGATAAAAAAAATTTTGAAGCAAATAACAAATTAAATATGCTCCTCTTCCAAAATTGGCATGATTGGTTAACTATGTACACTGATACTTCAAAGTTAAGTGATGATGAATTAGTAGGGCCTGCAGTGTGAATCCTAAAACAAAATCCTAATCCTAAATACAGGATTATTTTAAATTTTAACTCTCCCCCTGACTCATCTGTATTCAAAGGTGAGGCTTTGGCTATTTTAGAGGCAGTTTCATATGTAGAATCACATGGTCTGAAAAGCACCCTCATTTTCTCGGACTCCCTTAGTTGCTTTCAAAGTATTTTATTCAGTCCTTTTCACTCTAAGATTAGATACCCCCTAATTTTAAATATTAGAAAGTCTCTGTACTACTCTCATAAAAAGGGGTGAACAATGTATTGGCTTATGGTAGGGTAATGAAATTGCAGATAATTTAGCAAAAGATGCCACAAAACCTTGCTCTATCCCCAGACAATGCCTCTATGCACATGGCCTCCTGCCAAAGGCAAACTCCGGCCTTCTGTTTTCTTGGCAAAGTAATTGGCATCAGTCTAAATTTTTAAAATGTAATCACTATTCCAAAGTTCAAATTAATATCCCATCAAAACCCTGGTTTTTTCAATGTCGCCACTTTAGTAAGACGGCAGTGTAGAACGGCATATTTATTTTTCCAGTATTCGGATGAGTACGGTATTTTGTCCCCATCTATTTGCATTGTTGCCTATTATAAAGATATGATGATATGCACTGAAGTGTAGCTCCTCTAGGCTTTAGATATGATGATATGCACTGAAGTGTAGCTCCTCTAGGCTTTAGATATGATGATATGCACTGAAGTGTAGCTCCTCTAGGCTTTAGATATGATGATATGCACTGAAGTGTAGCTCCTCTAGGCTTTAGATATGATGATATGCACTGAAGTGTAGCTCCTCTAGGCTTTAGATATGATGATATGCACTGAAGTGTAGCTCCTCTAGGCTTTAGATATGATGATATGCACTGAAGTGTAGCTCCTCTAGGCTTTAGATATGATGATATGCACTGAAGTGTAGCTCCTCTAGGCTTTAGATATGATGATATGCACTGAAGTGTAGCTCCTCTAGGCTTTAGATATGATGATATGCACTGAAGTGTAGCTCCTCTAGGCTTTAGATATGATGATATGCACTGAAGTGTAGCTCCTCTAGGCTTTAGATATGATGATATGCACTGAAGTGTAGCTCCTCTAGGCTTTAGATATGATGATATGCACTGAAGTGTAGCTCCTCTAGGCTTTAGATATGATGATATGCACTGAAGTGTAGCTCCTCTAGGCTTTAGGTATGATGATATGCACTGAAGTGTAGCTCCTCTAGGCTTTAGATATGATGATATGCACTGAAGTGTAGCTCCTCTAGGCTTTAGATATGATGATATGCACTGAAGTGTAGCTCCTCTAGGCTTTAGATATGATGATATGCACTGAAGTGTAGCTCCTCTAGGCTTTAGATATGATGATATGCACTGAAGTGTAGCTCCTCTAGGCTTTAGATATGATGATATGCACTGAAGTGTAGCGCCTCTAGGCTTTAGATATGATGATATGCATTGAAGTGTAGCTCCTCTAGGCTTTAGATATGATGATATGCACTGAAGTGTAGCGCCTCTAGGCTTTAGATATGATGATATGCATTGAAGTGTAGCTCCTCTAGGCTTTAGATATGATGATATGCACTGAAGTGTAGCGCCTCTAGGCTTTAGATATGATGATATGCACTGAAGTGTAGCTCCTCTAGGCTTTAGATATGATGATATGCACTGAAGTGTAGCTCCTCTAGGCTTTAGATATGATGATATGCACTGAAGTGTAGCTCCTCTAGGCTTTAGATATGATGATATGCACTGAAGTGTAGCTCCTCTAGGCTTTAGATATGATGATATGCACTGAAGTGTAGCTCCTCTAGGCTTTAGATATGATGATATGCACTGAAGTGTAGCTCCTCTAGGCTTTAGATATGATGATATGCACTGAAGTGTAGCTCCTCTAGGCTTTAGGTATGATGATATGCACTGAAGTGTAGCTCCTCTAGGCTTTAGATATGATGATATGCACTGAAGTGTAGCTCCTCTAGGCTTTAGATATGATGATATGCACTGAAGTGTAGCTCCTCTAGGCTTTAGATATGATGATATGCACTGAAGTGTAGCTCCTCTAGGCTTTAGATATGATGATATGCACTGAAGTGTAGCTCCTCTAGGCTTTAGATATGATGATATGCACTGAAGTGTAGCTCCTCTAGGCTTTAGATATGATGATATGCACTGAAGTGTAGCTCCTCTAGGCTTTAGATATGATGATATGCACTGAAGTGTAGGTCCTCTAGGCTTTAGATATGATGATATGCACTGAAGTGTAGCTCCTCTAGGCTTTAGATATGATGATATGCACTGAAGTGTAGCTCCTCTAGGCTTTAGATATGATGATATGCACTGAAGTGTAGCTCCTCTAGGCTTTAGATATGATGATATGCATTGAAGTGTAGCTCCTCTAGGCTTTAGATATGATGATATGCACTGAAGTGTAGCGCCTCTAGGCTTTAGATATGATGATATGCACTGAAGTGTAGCGCCTCTAGGCTTTAGATATGATGATATGCACTGAAGTGTAGCTCCTCTAGGCTTTAGATATGATGATATGCACTGAAGTGTAGCTCCTCTAGGCTTTAGATATGATGATATGCACTGAAGTGTAGATCCTCTAGGCTTTAGATATGATGATATGCACTGAAGTGTAGCTCCTCTAGGCTTTAGATATGATGATATGCACTGAAGTGTAGCTCCTCTAGGCTTTAGATATGATGATATGCACTGAAGTGTAGCTCCTCTAGGCTTTAGATATGATGATATGCACTGAAGTGTAGCTCCTCTAGGCTTTAGATATGATGATATGCACTGAAGTGTAGCTCCTCTAGGCTTTAGATATGATGATATGCACTGAAGTGTAGCTCCTCTAGGCTTTAGATATGATGATATGCACTGAAGTGTAGCTCCTCTAGGCTTTAGATATGATGATATGCACTGAAGTGTAGCTCCTCTAGGCTTTAGATATGATGATATGCACTGAAGTGTAGCTCCTCTAGGCTTTAGATATGATGATATGCACTGAAGTGTAGCTCCTCTAGGCTTTAGATATGATGATATGCACTGAAGTGTAGCTCCTCTAGGCTTTAGATATGATGATATGCACTGAAGTGTAGCTCCTCTAGGCTTTAGATATGATGATATGCACTGAAGTGTAGCGCCTCTAGGCTTTAGATATGATGATATGCATTGAAGTGTAGCTCCTCTAGGCTTTAGATATGATGATATGCACTGAAGTGTAGCGCCTCTAGGCTTTAGATATGATGATATGCACTGAAGTGTAGCTCCTCTAGGCTTTAGATATGATGATATGCACTGAAGTGTAGCGCCTCTAGGCTTTAGATATGATGATATGCATTGAAGTGTAGCTCGTCTAGGCTTTAGATATGATGATATGCACTGAAGTGTAGCTCCTCTAGGCTTTAGATATGATGATATGCACTGAAGTGTAGCTCCTCTAGGCTTTAGATATGATGATATGCACTGAAGTGTAGCTCCTCTAGGCTTTAGATATGATGATATGCACTGAAGTGTAGCTCCTCTAGGCTTTAGATATGATGATATGCACTGAAGTGTAGCTCCTCTAGGCTTTAGGTATGATGATATGCACTGAAGTGTAGCTCCTCTAGGCTTTAGATATGATGATATGCACTGAAGTGTAGCTCCTCTAGGCTTTAGATATGATGATATGCACTGAAGTGTAGCTCCTCTAGGCTTTAGATATGATGATATGCACTGAAGTGTAGCTCCTCTAGGCTTTAGATATGATGATATGCACTGAAGTGTAGCTCCTCTAGGCTTTAGATATGATGATATGCACTGAAGTGTAGCTCCTCTAGGCTTTAGATATGATGATATGCACTGAAGTGTAGCTCCTCTAGGCTTTAGATATGATGATATGCACTGAAGTGTAGCTCCTCTAGGCTTTAGATATGATGATATGCACTGAAGTGTAGCTCCTCTAGGCTTTAGATATGATGATATGCACTGAAGTGTAGCTCCTCTAGGCTTTAGATATGATGATATGCACTGAAGTGTAGCTCCTCTAGGCTTTAGATATGATGATATGCACTGAAGTGTAGCTCCTCTAGGCTTTAGATATGATGATATGCACTGAAGTGTAGCGCCTCTAGGCTTTAGATATGATGATATGCACTGAAGTGTAGCTCTCTCTAGGCTTTAGATATGATGATATGCACTGAAGTGTAGCTCCTCTAGGCTTTAGATATGATGATATGCATTGAAGTGTAGCTCCTCTAGGCTTTAGATATGATGATATGCACTGAAGTGTAGCGCCTCTAGGCTTTAGATATGATGATATGCACTGAAGTGTAGCGCCTCTAGGCTTTAGATATGATGATATGCACTGAAGTGTAGCTCCTCTAGGCTTTAGATATGATGATATGCACTGAAGTGTAGCTCCTCTAGGCTTTAGATATGATGATATGCACTGAAGTGTAGCTCCTCTAGGCTTTAGATATGATGATATGCACTGAAGTGTAGCTCCTCTAGGCTTTAGATATGATGATATGCACTGAAGTGTAGCTCCTCTAGGCTTTAGATATGATGATATGCACTGAAGTGTAGCTCCTCTAGGCTTTAGATATGATGATATGCACTGAAGTGTAGCTCCTCTAGGCTTTAGATATGATGATATGCACTGAAGTGTAGCTCCTCTAGGCTTTAGATATGATGATATGCACTGAAGTGTAGCTCCTCTAGGCTTTAGATATGATGATATGCACTGAAGTGTAGCTCCTCTAGGCTTTAGGTATGATGATATGCACTGAAGTGTAGCTCCTCTAGGCTTTAGATATGATGATATGCACTGAAGTGTAGCTCCTCTAGGCTTTAGATATGATGATATGCACTGAAGTGTAGCTCCTCTAGGCTTTAGATATGATGATATGCACTGAAGTGTAGCTCCTCTAGGCTTTAGATATGATGATATGCACTGAAGTGTAGCTCCTCTAGGCTTTAGATATGATGATATGCACTGAAGTGTAGCTCCTCTAGGCTTTAGATATGATGATATGCACTGAAGTGTAGCTCCTCTAGGCTTTAGATATGATGATATGCACTGAAGTGTAGCGCCTCTAGGCTTTAGATATGATGATATGCATTGAAGTGTAGCTCCTCTAGGCTTTAGATATGATGATATGCACTGAAGTGTAGCGCCTCTAGGCTTTAGATATGATGATATGCATTGAAGTGTAGCTCGTCTAGGCTTTAGATATGATGATATGCACTGAAGTGTAGCTCCTCTAGGCTTTAGATATGATGATATGCACTGAAGTGTAGCTCCTCTAGGCTTTAGATATGATGATATGCACTGAAGTGTAGCTCCTCTAGGCTTTAGATATGATGATATGCACTGAAGTGTAGCTCCTCTAGGCTTTAGATATGATGATATGCACTGAAGTGTAGCTCCTCTAGGCTTTAGATATGATGATATGCACTGAAGTGTAGCTCCTCTAGGCTTTAGATATGATGATATGCACTGAAGTGTAGCTCCTCTAGGCTTTAGGTATGATGATATGCACTGAAGTGTAGCTCCTCTAGGCTTTAGATATGATGATATGCACTGAAGTGTAGCTCCTCTAGGCTTTATATATGATGATATGCACTGAAGTGTAGCTCCTCTAGGCTTTAGATATGATGATATGCACTGAAGTGTAGCTCCTCTAGGCTTTAGATATGATGATATGCACTGAAGTGTAGCTCCTCTAGGCTTTAGATATGATGATATGCACTGAAGTGTAGCGCCTCTAGGCTTTAGATATGATGATATGCATTGAAGTGTAGCTCCTCTAGGCTTTAGATATGATGATATGCACTGAAGTGTAGCGCCTCTAGGCTTTAGATATGATGATATGCATTGAAGTGTAGCTCCTCTAGGCTTTAGATATGATGATATGCACTGAAGTGTAGCGCCTCTAGGCTTTAGATATGATGATATGCATTGAAGTGTAGCTCCTCTAGGCTTTAGATATGATGATATGCACTGAAGTGTAGCTCCTCTAGGCTTTAGATAAGCCAAAAAATAGTCCCGTGGTAAAATTATTATTATTGATATTTGACAATACTACTTTTAAAAATGATAAAATCGCCCAAGTTGTAGATTTATCTTTTTGGAAGTCGTATTGTTCGTTTGATATAATATGATATTTATTACAAAATTCCATTAGTCTTTTATGCATGAATTTTTCATATATTTTTTATATAATGGGTATTAGGGTTATTGTTCGCTAATTATTAATATCATATTTTTTTAAACAGCGGCTTAACTATTGATAGTTTTAATGCATCTGGAAAGAGTCTACACGGAAATGAAAAATTAATTAAATATGTCAAGATTTTAATGAATTCGTTAATACAATTTTTTTATTATTTTTGTGTTTATGTCATCGTAACCTACAGAGCTAGTGTATTTCAATAACATTATTTTTCTTCTAACCTCATTTTCTGACATAGGTCTGAGAAACATAGATTTGACATTCGCGCTGTTAGTAGTTAATTTTTCCGCTGTAGTGTGTGTTGTTGATACATGGATCAAATCAATAAAATGATTGTTAAAAGTAGAAGCTATGTCTACTGGATTCGTAAACACTGTGTTATTAACTATAATTTTTCAATATTTTTGTCGTCACATGAATTAGAAATTACTTTTGTATGTTGCTCTGCATTTTTTTCATTTTCATTTATATACTTAACATTAGCATTCTTTTTTAAATTAATTACACATTTTTTTCAGAGCTCAGAACATGACTGAAACCTTAACATTCGTTTTGTTTCGCAACTTACTTTGAGGCCTTTGCTTATCTAATTTTGTTTTTTATTTCATAAATTTATTTTGATTCGTTATTTTGGAAAACAAAGATAGTAGAAAAGGCAAAATAATTCATGAAATCTGCTGAATGCTGTGTTAGCATTACTTTCCATGGACCTTCGGACCATGACAACTTTTTAGGCATTCTTTAAACTTCCTAATATTATCTAAGGTATAGTCTCTCTTATAAACGTAATATATCGCATGTTTTTGTGGCTCACATTTTACAGGAAAGCTTAACAATTGTGCTGGGTCATGATCGGAAAGATATTGTGGTAACAATGTTGCTACTTAGAATATGATCAATGCTGGACGACTTACATGTTTCTACATGTATATTGAAATGTATTTTCAAATTATAATTATAGAACAAATCTTGTAATTTGTGATTTTGCCTTTTTAGTGTATTTATATTAAAGTCTCCAACTGTAACTATATGTACGTTAGATTTATATTTTACAGTTAAATCGTGCAAACTTGTGTTTAACTTAACTTAAAACTGTGTTGGGTCAGATTGAGGGGTTTTGTAGAGACAAATAGTAATTTATTTAATATGTACGATTTCTATGCCGCAAGCTTCGAACGTATTCTGGATAGCATAATTTTTTATAAACGATAATTCATAAGTCTTACTCATATCAAAGAATATGACTACCACCGGAATTTTCTCATCAATGTATCCAGTTATATTTTTTATAAGGGAAAATGCTGCTAAAGAAGTTGATTTATTGTGTTGAAAACCATTCTGTTCTTTTTTAAATAATATTATGTTTATTAAGGAATTCAATTAACCTGTTGTAAAAAAAAACCCTTTCAAAAATGTTTGATGTAATAAGTACAAGTGTAATAAGACGATAATTGTTGGATTTCTTTATATCACCTTTCTTGTACAATGATTTATTAATAGAGTGCTTTAATTTATCTGCAAATATTCCTTGATTCACGGAATTTGTTATTATATGGTTAAGAATGGGGGCAATGACACGAGCACTTGCTTTAATTATTTCTGTAGATATAGAGTTATACCCTACAGCTTTGGTGTTATTGAATGATTTAATTATATTTCATATTTCAAGCTCTGAAGTAAATATTTTTTGATATTGTTCGTTTGGCGCATGTAAATTATTTCCATTACTAATATTAATAAAAAAGTAATTAAAAAGTTGCTATTTGGGTAGGATTGTGAATTATATATCCGTCATTTTGTATTGATTTAACGCTGTTGATCGAGTCGGTACTATTATTTTTATCTTTTATTATATTTCAAGTGACTCCCTTTATTTTTTGCTCGCTTAACATGTTTACTATTAATATTTTTTGACCATAATAAGCATTTCTTTAATATTTTTTCATAAATATTATATATTTCGAGTGTGTCTTGTTTCTTAAATTTATAATATGGAAACCTTAATTGTCTTCCAGCGGCACTGGCTACTCACAGGCCTTTGCAGATCCGTGCGGGAGATCGGCTGGTTGAAGTTATTTTTCGACTACAAATCATATTAATCAGTGTGATGGGGTAGTAGTTAATGTAAAAAACACACTTAAATGTAATATAAAAGAAATTAAATTAATACATGCGTCATGCTTGCAAGTTGTATTACTCAGTTTTACAATTCTTTGCATTTATCGATCGCCTTCAATTAGAAATGCTGAACTTTTTATAAACTCATTGTGCGGACATTTAGACACTATAAAAGGACATAAAATGTTGTTATTATCGGCGATATTAATATAAATATTATCAATAAAACCATTCAACAATCACACGAACGTACAAATAGACTGGCATACCTCAATATGTTAGCAATGCATGGCATACTTCCAGGACATGTATTGCCTACAAGGAAATACAACTTCTTGGACCATTTTATGCTGAAAATAGATATTAATAGACACTTGGCCTCCATTATAGTTTTTGACACCACTATAACCGATCATCATATGATATTTCTAAAATTGACCAATGCCGATACACAAAATGGAAACCAAAGTAAAGATAACATTAAAAATAATAATAAAAATAAATATAAGACAATTACAAATTATGAAAATGCACTGTTAAGCCTAAAAGAAAGTAATCTAGCTAATTTATTACTATATGAGAATCCCACAGAATTAACTAACACACTTATTAATAAATTGCAGCAATGTTTAATGGACAACACTTTTTCAAAACGCATTCCCTCCAAGGATCGATTAATTAAACCATGGATTACACCAGGTATTTTAATGTGTATTCGAAATAGGGATGACATGCAACGAAAATTACGTGCTGATCCATATAATGATATCTTAAAAATAACTTACAAAAGATACCGTAATTTTTGTAATCACATAATTTTAGACACATAATTTTTTAAGATTTAATATGATAAAGAACTCTTGATTAAACATAGGAAAAACCCACGGACTTTATGGCATACAATAAATAATATAACAAGCCGTAACAAAAGAAAAACAAATAGTCTGGAGTTGTTAGACATACACGCTTCCTCACAGTTGTCTGTTGATCATGTATGCGATTTCTTCGCTAATGTTGGCAAAACCTTAGCTGAGGATATTCTAACAAACCCTTATACACAACAAGTTGGTGCTAGCAATGGTTGTTTTAACTCACCTGTAGCGTCTATGTTTTTTCATGAAACCGATCCTGAAGAGGTTCACAAAATTTTGATGAGCCTGAAATCTGAGAGCGCCCCCCGGCCGGGGTAATGTATCTACTCAATTCTTAAAACAAGCGAACGATCAAGTAGCGCCCATAATTTCGCACCTTGCTAACCTCTGTTTTAAACATGGGATCTTCCCAGCGGGGCTCAAAAAGGCAATAATAACGCCGGTGTATAAGAATGGTGACAGAGAAGATGTATCCAACTATAGGCCAATTTCAGTTTTAACTACCATTTCAAAAATTCTAGAGAAATTAATCAACAAGAGACTTATAAATTATTTAAATAAAATTGTCTTTCAAATTCGCAATACAGCTTTCGGCAAAATCTTTCAACTGAAGATGCAGTCACAGCTAATGCTGCTCGTTAATACGACACATATCGTTAACAATATCGACAGGGGAAAGAAATGTATTGCAGTGTTTCTGGATTTAAAAAAAGCATTTGATACTGTCTCTGTCCCCATTCTTATACAAAGGCTGGAGAGTATTGGCATAAGAGGAGTGGCACTTGCGCTATTATCAGACTACCTCAATGAGCGCAAACAATGCGTGAAAATAGGCCAATACATTAGTAGCCAATGTGATGTGACGTATGGTGTCCCACAGGGAAGTGTCCTTGGGCCGACTCTATTCTTGACTTACATCAATAGCCTCTGCAATATGAGTATTAACGCGGGACAAGTTTTTTCTTATGCAGACGACACTGCCATTGTTTTCACTGGCAACACATGGGATTCCGTACGTCAAGTCACGGAGGAGGGGCTAGTCAGGGTAGCTGACTGGTTAAAATCCAACCTCTTAACATTGAATACGGACAAAACAAACTACATAGCATTCACAAAATATAATTCAACGCAACCTGAACATAATTTCAAAATTCAAATTCATGAGTGTAACAACCTTCGAATAAATTGCTCATGCAAAACCATTTCCAAAGTTAACAATACAAAGTATTTGGGAGTTGTAGTTGACCAGAGGTTATCCTGGCACGCCCATCTAGAACTAATGATGGGAAGAGTCAGAAAACTTATATGGGTTTTTAAAAGGCTGAGACATGTTACTGACAAGAAACTATTAAAACTAATTTATGTTTCATTGGCTCAGTCACTATTGACCTACTGTATCCCAGTCTGGGGTGGTGCTAGTAAGACGCAGTTTCTCGATTTAGAAAGAGCACTACTAAAGGTAATGAGCTTTAAACCCTATAGGTATCCTACTGAAAACCTATACAAAATAAGTGATGTTCTTACAGTTAGGCAATTGTATATATTAAATATAATTCTAAAATGTCACAAAACGCTTCCATATGATTCTTCCAAAATATCTAGAAGACGAAAGCATAATGTAGCTCCCATTGCTACAGTCAAGTCAGGTTATGCTAGGAGGCAGTTTACGGTTCGATCTGCTTATTTATATAATAAAGTTAATAAAGTTTTAAACATTTACCAAATGACTAAATACAAGTGCAAAATGAGTTTGACAGCACTATTAAAAACTTGGAGTTATGCTAAAACTGAGTCTTTCTTACAGAACTCAAACTAAGACATTCTTGGATTATATTGTACACACAATAGAAGTTTGATTTAAAAATAATATTTTATTTCATAAAATAGGAATGATAAAACTCACCTAAACTTAATCCCTTGGGGCCTTAATCTAAATGAAATTTTACAATAACCCATAAAGCTCAAACTCACATAAACACACACACACGCGCGCACACACACACACACACACACACACACACACACACACACACACACACACTTTAAAAATGTAAATTAAAAATATGTTTTTAGATTAAGTATTGAAGTAAGTAGGTATCACATTAGTGTTCGTTAATCAATGTTACGGAGAGGGGGATTTCTAACACAAGTATTTATTTACTTAAAAGAAGTCCTCATTCACAACACTGCTATGTAAAAACTCTGATACTGAATAAATTATTTGATTTGATTTAGATTTATAGCAGGGAAAGCATATTAACTCATAATTAGTGATCGGATAATCGGATGCATATTTACCGTTGTGCCGGTGTTGGTTGGCGTGCAGGAGATCGGCTGTTTGAAGTTATTTTAGATTTATAGCAGGGAAAGCATATTAACTCATAATTAGTGATCGGATAATCGGATGCATATTTACCGTTGTGCCGGTGTTGGTTGGCGTGCAGGAGATCGGCTGTTTGAAGTTATTTTAGATTTATAGCAGGGAAATCATATTAACTCATAATTAGTGATCGGATAATCGGATGCATATTTACCGTTGTGCCGGTGTTGGTTGGCGTGCAGGAGATCGGGTGTTTGAAGTTATTTTAGATTTATAGCAGGGAAAGCATATTAACTCATAATTAGTGATCGGATAATCGGATGCATATTTACCGTTGTGCCGGTGTTGGTTGCGTGCAGGAGATCGGCTGTTTGAAGTTATTTTAGATTTATAGCAGGGAAAGCATATTAACTCATAATTAGTGATCGGATAATCGGATGCATATTTACCGTTGTGCCGGTGTTGGTTGGCGTGCAGGAGATCGGCTGTTTGAAGTTATTTTAGATTTATAGCAGGGAAAGCATATTAACTCATAATTAGTGATCGGATAATCGGATGCATATTTACCGTTGTGCCGGTGTTGGTTGGCGTGCAGGAGATCGGCTGTTTGAAGTTATTTTAGATTTATAGCAGGGAAAGCATATTAACTCATAATTAGTGATCGGATAATCGGATGCATATTTACCGTTATGCCGGTGTTGGTTGGCGTGCAGGAGATCGGCTGTTTGAAGTTATTTTAGATTTATAGCAGGGAAAGCATATTAACTCATAATTAGTGATCGGATAATCGGATGCATATTTACCGTTGTGCCGGTGTTGGTTGGCGTGCAGGAGATCGGCTGTTTGAAGTTATTTTAGATTTATAGCAGGGAAAGCATATTAACTCATAATTAGTGATCGGATAATCGGATGCATATTTACCGTTGTGCCGGTGTTGGTTGGCGTGCAGGAGATCGGCTGTTTGAAGTTATTTTAGATTTATAGCAGGGAAAGCATATTAACTCATAATTAGTGATCGGATAATCGGATGCATATTTACCGTTGTGCCGGTGTTGGTTGGCGTGCAGGAGATCGGCTGTTTGAAGTTATTTTAGATTTATAGCAGGGAAATCATATTAACTCATAATTAGTGATCGGATAATCGGATGCATATTTACCGTTGTGCCGGTGTTGGTTGGCGTGCAGGAGATCGGCTGTTTGAAGTTATTTTAGATTTATAGCAGGGAAATCATATTAACTCATAATTAGTGATCGGATAATCGGATGCATATTTACCGTTGTGCCTGTGTTGGTTGGCGTGCAGGAGATCGGCTGTTTGAAGTTATTTTAGATTTATAGCAGGGAAAGTATATTAACTCATAATTAGTGATCGGATAATCGGATGCATATTTACCGTTGTGCCGGTGTTGGTTGGCGTGCAGGAGATCGGCTGTTTGAAGTTATTTTAGATTTATAGCAGGGAAAGCATATTAACTCATAATTAGTGATCGGATAATCGGATGCATATTTACCGTTGTGCCGGTGTTGGTTGCGTGCAGGAGATCGGCTGTTTGAAGTTATTTTAGATTTATAGCAGGGAAAGCATATTAACTCATAATTAGTGATCGGATAATCGGATGCATATTTACCGTTGTGCCGGTGTTGGTTGGCGTGCAGGAGATCGGCTGTTTGAAGTTATTTTAGATTTATAGCAGGGAAAGCATATTAACTCATAATTAGTGATCGGATAATCGGATGCATATTTACCGTTGTGCCGGTGTTGGTTGGCGTGCAGGAGATCGGCTGTTTGAAGTTATTTTAGATTTATAGCAGGGAAAGCATATTAACTCATAATTAGTGATCGGATAATCGGATGCATATTTACCGTTATGCCGGTGTTGGTTGGCGTGCAGGAGATCGGCTGTTTGAAGTTATTTTAGATTTATAGCAGGGAAAGCATATTAACTCATAATTAGTGATCGGATAATCGGATGCATATTTACCGTTGTGCCGGTGTTGGTTGGCGTGCAGGAGATCGGCTGTTTGAAGTTATTTTAGATTTATAGCAGGGAAAGCATATTAACTCATAATTAGTGATCGGATAATCGGATGCATATTTACCGTTGTGCCGGTGTTGGTTGGCGTGCAGGAGATCGGCTGTTTGAAGTTATTTTAGATTTATAGCAGGGAAAGCATATTAACTCATAATTAGTGATCGGATAATCGGATGCATATTTACCGTTGTGCCGGTGTTGGTTGGCGTGCAGGAGATCGGCTGTTTGAAGTTATTTTAGATTTATAGCAGGGAAATCATATTAACTCATAATTAGTGATCGGATAATCGGATGCATATTTACCGTTGTGCCGGTGTTGGTTGGCGTGCAGGAGATCGGCTGTTTGAAGTTATTTTAGATTTATAGCAGGGAAATCATATTAACTCATAATTAGTGATCGGATAATCGGATGCATATTTACCGTTGTGCCTGTGTTGGTTGGCGTGCAGGAGATCGGCTGTTTGAAGTTATTTTAGATTTATAGCAGGGAAAGTATATTAACTCATAATTAGTGATCGGATAATCGGATGCATATTTACCGTTGTGCCGGTGTTGGTTGGCGTGCAGGAGATCGGCTGTTTGAAGTTATTTTAGATTTATAGCAGGGAAAGAATATTAACTCATAATTAGTGATCGGATAATCGGATGCATATTTACCGTTGTGCCGGTGTTGGTTGGCGTGCAGGAGATCGGCTGTTTGAAGTTATTTTAGATTTATAGCAGGGAAAGCATATTAACTCATAATTAGTGATCGGATAATCGGATGCATATTTACCGTTGTGCCGGTGTTGGTTGGCGTGCAGGAGATCGGCTGTTTGAAGTTATTTTAGGTTTGTAGCAGGGAAAGCATATTAACTCATAATTAGTGATCGGATAATCGGATGCATATTTACCGTTGTGCCGGTGTTGGTTGGCGTGCAGGAGATCGGCTGTTTGAAGTTATTTTAGATTTATAGCAGGGAAAGCATATTAACTCATAATTAGTGATCGGATAATCGGATGCATATTTACCGTTGTGCCGGTGTTGGTTGGCGTGCAGGAGATCGGCTGTTTGAAGTTATTTTAGATTTATAGCAGGGAAAGCATATTAACTCATAATTAGTGATCGGATAATCGGATGCATATTTACCGTTGTGCCGGTGTTTGCTATTATGGAATGCACTTCACTTTTGTATTGAAAAAATCCCGGGATTTCGGAATCGACAAATTTAGTTATTTTTTACTATATAATTAAATTGGGTGTAGGCATATTTACCTATTTTAACTTTTATGTATATATATGAAAAAAACTAGCTATATAACTTCCTCTTAATTTTTTTAATTAACACCCACTATCTACTATTCCTCTTACACTCAACTTACTCATAAATTGATGGGGAGCTTAAAATTAACTTCATGTAAATACACATTAGTAATTATGTAATCTCCCCGTTTTTTTTAATAAATACCACATGCTATAGACGACGTTTCCTCACCATGATACAGACTATTTCGCGTTCCCATATCTTCTGAAATCCTGGTATTTATAATTAAAAAATATCTTTTAGAAGCCGCTTCAATAATTTCTTAGCAAAATGAACTTTAGGTAAATATGTGTTGCGTGAATAAGTCAACGTCATACACCAGCGCCATCTAGTGTCAGGAACGAGAGCGAGGGGAGCTTTGCAGAAAATGACATCACAAATCTTCCAACCGACAGCGCCATCCGAAGAACTAAGTTTCTAGAAAATCTACACTCGAACACTCGTCGCCTTGCGCGTATTTACTTGAATATTCCGGATGCTTCATTGCTAATTTGTATATATAGGCGCTGCAAGATGCGATCGGGGCAGTATTGGATTTGGCGAGACAAGCGAAGCTTCGGAGCGGAATAAAGTGAATTAGTGTGTTTAATTATTAGTGTTTTAAGTTTTAATTTGTGTAAAGTAAATTAAAGTGTTAATTTAGGTAATTTTATCGGCAATTTTTATTGTCACGAACCTCCAGCTCGTAACAATTGGTGTCAGAAGTGGGATAAAATTAAGCCGATTTTACCTAAGGAGGAAACGGAGGGTGTCTGTAACCGAAGTCAACGCCAGCAGGAGACGGACCAACGAAGATTTGGTGGTGCAACGCCGCAGACGTCGGAGGGCCAGCCACCGGCTGCAGGCCCGTCGGTAGCTCCTACATCTGCAGCACCTGACTTAGGTGCTCTGATGGTGATGCTGCAGGAGCAGGCTCGCTGACAGGAGGAGCAGGCTCGCCGACAGGAGGAACAGGTCCGTCAGTTGAAAGAGCAGCTGCAGAGCGAACAGGAGGAACAGGTCCGTCAGTTGAAAGAGCAGCTGCAGAGCGGACAAGAGGAACAGGCCCGCCGACAGGAGGAACAGATGCTCTTCATGAAGGACCTTCACGCTACCTTTGCGAAAGAGATAAGGGAGGTGAAGGATAGGGTTGCTCAACATGACAACCGCCTGTTGGAAGCTGAAACCCGAATCGAAGAACATGAAACCCGAATCAACCATGTGAACAATCGGGTTGACAACGTGATGGCTGACGTGAAGAAAACGCTGAACGACCTCAAACTTGGGGATGGAACTACAGCTCCAGTAGTAACTACAGCACCTTCGCTACGTGGATTCAAAGTGCCGCCGTTCGACGGCACTTCTTCCTGGTCGGCCTACAAAATACAGTTCGAGGCCGTCATGGAGGCAAACGGCTGGAATAAAAGCCAGGCCATGACTGCACTCACCTTAGGCCTGCGCGACCAAGCCTTAACCGTGTTGGAAGCTCTCGGTAAGAAAGTGACCTACGAGCAGCTCCTTGAGGCATTGGAGGCGAGATATGGTGACGGTCATATGGAACACGTCTTTCGCGCGCAGCTTAAAGATCGCGTGCAACGCAGCAACGAAAACCTGCAGCAGTGGGCCCTTGAGGTGGTGAAGATGGTTCGAAAAGCATACCAGTCTGTACCTGCGCTCATTGAAGGGAACCTGGTGCAGACATTCATCGACGGCATCCGCGACTTGGAAGTCAGAGCTGCTGTGAGGCTCGGGCACCACGAGACGCTTAAGGATGCCTTGGCCCATGCACTGGAGGTAGAAGCCGTGCGGCAGGATCATCGTTCCCATCGCGTCAGGGAGGTTGCAGCAGCTACGGTTCGCGACCGCAACAAAGGATACAGCCCTAGGTGCTATGGCTGTGGGGAAAAGGGCCATCTTCGATCCAGCTGCCCTAAGCGAACCCTAGAAAGGGAAGGTGAATGATCCCAGGAGGGTAGTGCGGCCAACAGCACCGCCCAGCAGCAGCAGGGAAACGAGTAAAAGCCAGAACTGCGGGGCGGGTGCTGGCTGATGTTAAAAGAGCCCCAAGGATCTCGATCTCACAAACCCATGATGGAAAAAGTCTAATCATCAAGGGCGAGGTCAACGGAATTCCGTGTAAACTGACCATAGACACTGGAGCCTCTCGTACGGTTGTTAGTTCCCAACTTATAAGTCAGTTCCTTGGGGACTCCGCATACAACCGAGAACGCATTACTTTGGTAACAGCCACCGGTCAGCGTATACCCGTCCGTGGAGAGGAGATGGAGTTGAAGCTTGGCAACGTGATCTACCTGCATAATGTCATCGTGGCTGATATAATGGACGACTGCATCCTAGGCCTAGACTTCATGAGGAATAATTGTTGTGAGATCGACGTTAAACAAGGTGTTTTGAAATGTGGACAGGAGGAACTTTTTATGGAAGGTGCGTTACCAGGGAACGTGTACAGCATTAAGAAGATTGTTCTTCCGCCGAGATCGGAAACGATTGTTCCGGTTAGTCTTCCCCGAAACGCTGGGCAAGCACACCGTTGTATACTTGTGGAAAGGGTAAACAATGACCTTCCATGGAAAGTAGCTCGAACCTTGGTCAGAACCACTGACATCTCAGGAGTACGTGTGCTGAACCTTTGCGACCGGGAACAGATTATAGAAAAAGGCACACTGGTTGGCACTTGTGAGGAAGTGGAATGGTTCCGTCGGTGCCAATATATATCGAGTGGGACCACCAGTAAGGATTCAGAAACGAGAGTGACCACACTTTTGGAAGACTGTCGCAGTGTCCTCTCCCCGAACGAATTGGTCAAGGCGAAGAAGTTGTTACTCAAGTACGCCGATGTATTCTCGTCAAACGATGCTGACATAGGAAAGACTGGCTTAGTTCAACACAAAATAAACACAGAAGAGGAATTGCCTATCCGTCAGCGGCCAAGAAGATTGCCGGTAGCACGTGAAAAGGAAGTGGAAACCATGATTGAGGGAATGGTGAAGGATGGTGTTATTGAACCTTCATCTAGTCCATGGTGTTCACCCGTGGTGCTGGTAAAGAAGAAGGATGGCAGCATGCGGTTCTGTGTTGATTACCGCCGTCTGAACGACGTTACAAAGAAGGACAGCTATCCCTTGCCAAGAATTGATGACACGCTGGACATGCTTACAGGAGTAAAATGGTTTAGCACGCTGGATCTAAAAAAGTGGCTACTGGCAAGTTGAAATTGACCCTAAGGACAAGGAGAAAACTGCGTTCTCGACGGGAAAGGGTCTGTGGCAATTCAAAGTAATGCCGTTTGGGTTGTGCAATGCTCCAGCAACGTTTGAAAGGCTGATGGAGCTTGTACTTACTGGGCTAATTGGCGATGCCTGTCTGGTCTACTTGGATGACATCATCATCGTGGGCCGTACGTTTGAGGAACACCTTCAAAACCTGGAACGCGTGCTCATGAAGATTCAGAATGCCAACCTCAAGTTGAGTCCGAAGAAATGTTCACTATTCAAATGGCAAGTCAACTTTTTGGGGTATGTAGTGTCGGAAGAAGGTATCCGCACGGATTCAGAGAAAATCGCAGCTGTAAAGGATTGGCCAGTTTCAAAAGACAAGACGCAGGTTAGAGCATTTCTGGGTTTGTGCTCCTATTACCGGCGATTTGTGAAGAACTTTGCAGATATAGCAAAACCTCTGCATAAGCTAACCGAGGAGAAGCGACATTTCTGCTGGGATGAAAGTTGCAATATCGCATTCCAGGAGCTCAAGGACCGTCTGTGCAAAACACCTATTTTGGGATACCCTGATGCAAGCAAAGAATTTATAGTTGACACAGACCCAAGTGATATAGGACTTGGTGGTGTGTTGTCTCAACGGAATGGTGACCAAGAGGTCGTGATAGCGTACTTCAGCAAGTCGTTGTCAAAACCGGAAAGGAACTATTGTGTCACAAGACGCGAATTGCTAGCTGTGGTAAAGTCATTGCAACATTTTAGCAAATATCTTCTGGGACGAAAATTTCACTTACGAACTGACCATGCTGCACTAAAATGGCTATTGCAGTTTAAAAACCCAAAAGGACAAGTTGCGAGGTGGATTGAACTACTGCAGGAATACGACTTTGAGATCGAACATCACAGCGGGAAATCTCATGGCAACGCAGATGCATTGTCAAGAAGACCTTGTCCTGAAGATTGCAAACATTGTTCTAGGCAAGAGAGTAAGGAAGTGGTATCCGTGAGGATGCTCAGGGCAGACCACCTCAGCAACGATTGGAAGGACAGCTTACTACATGCACAGCAGGAAGATCCGGACATCAAGCCGATTCTAGAATGGATAAAGGCCAGTGCTCCCAAGCCCAAGTGGAGTGACGTCTCAGCGATGAGCTCGACCACTAAAAGCTATTGGGCCCAGTGGGACAGCTTGCTGCTTCAGGATGGAGTTCTGTGTCGTAAATGGGAAAATGTTCGGGGAGACAGCTGTCATTTGCAAATAGTTGTCCCTAAAGCTAAAGTACCGGATGTTCTACAGCTGTACCATAATGATTGTTCAGGAGGCCATCTGGGAGTTAAACGAATTCTACTGAAGATCAGAGAACGGTTTTACTAGGTCCACTGTCGAAACGATGTCAAGGACTGGTGTCGCAAATGTACAAGTTGTGCGGCTGTAAAGGGACCTCAGACTCGTAGTAGAGGTACATTGAAGTTGTACAATGTTGGTGCACCATGGGAGAGAATAGCCATTGACGTGGCGGGACCGTTTCCGGAGAGTGAAAGCGGTAAGAAGTATTTCATGGTTGTGATGGATTACTTCACTAAGTGGCCAGAAGTCTTCGCCATTCCAAATCAAGAAGCTTCAACAGTTGCTGATAAGCTAGTTCATGAAGTCTTCTGTCGTTTTGGTGTACCTTTAGAGATTCACAGCGATCAAGGAAGGAATTTCGAGTCTCAAATATTCCAGGAAACTTGCCGAGTTGTGGGTACTCATAAAACAAGAACGACTTCTTATCACCTGCAATCTGATGGAATGGTAGAACGATTTAATCAGACATTGGAGAGGTACCTAGCAAAAGTTGTAGACAATCGGCAACGAGATTGGGACAAGCACATACAACCGTTTTTGTTGTCATATCGAAGTTCTGTTCACGGAAGTACAGCAGTGACACCAGCTTTCGCAAACTTTGGAAGAGAATTACGGCTGCCTGCAGACCCGATCACCGGCATACCACCTGATGCCCCACGCAGTATAACCGATTATGCAAATGACTTGCAGAACAAAATTAATGACATTTATGAGCACGTCAGACAATCGGGCCAGCAAATGTCTGAGAAAATGAAAACCCGGTACGACCGCAAAATGAACAATAAAGGGTTCAACGAAGGTTCATTAGTGTGGTTGCACAATCCAGTCCGCAGCAAAGGGAAATCTCCTAAGCTTCAAGCTAAATGGGACGGCCCGTACCGGATTGTAACCAGGATCAACGATGTGACCTACCGGATACAGAAAGGCGCAAGAGGGACTCCTAAGATCGTCCATGTGGATCGCTTGGCGCGTTATTATGGAACCGATAATGCTCGGGACGAGCATGTCTTAGGAGGGGGCAGTGTTGCGTGAATAAGTCAACGTCATACACCAGCGCCATCTAGTGTCAGGAACGAGAGCGAGGGGAGCTTTGCAGAAAATGACATCACAAATCTTCCAACCGACAGCGCCATCCGAAGAACTAAGTTTCTAGAAAATCTACACTCGAACACTCGTCGCCTTGCGCGCATTTACTTGAATATTCCGGATGCTTCATTGCTAATTTGTATATATAGGCGCTGCAAGATGCGATCGGGGGGAGTATTGGATTTGGCGAGACAAGCGAAGCTTCGGAGCGGAATAAAGTGAATTAGTGTGTTTACTTATTAATGTTTTAAGTTTTAATTTATGTAAAGTAAATTAAAGTGTTAATTTAGGTAATTTTATCGGCAATTTTTATTGTCACGAACCTCAAGCTCGTAACATATGCATCCGAATATCCCATCACTACTCATAATACAATATAAGTTCTTGATGAAAAAGTTTATTGCGAAGTAATATAAAAAAAATTGTCATTTTTAGAATACCATTTGAAAATATTATGCATTATTATAATATACCACTGAGAAATAAAGAATGAAATACATAAATAAAAAAAGAAATATTTACCGAAGCCATGGAACATATGTATGAAGTATTAATTAACGTAAACGAAATCAAAAATTGAAAGGATTGTGTTATCCTGTATGAATATTGCTGCATTGCTTATTCTGTCCACGCCATTAGTAAAACCTACGAAATCTAACGTTTACTATCAGTACTATGCATTTTACTGAACGTTCTTATTGGCTTGGGTGATCGAGTTGAAAAGCGAAGCTTACCGTTTGCATTCCGATCGCTGGTTTGTAAAACTAACTAAAGTACGTGCTGAGCTGCCAATCTAAATGATTTATTTACGTCTGATTTCGCGTAGACTTCATGCCAAGATAATTGTGATATTAATTAATAGAAATTTTTCTATATTTTCATCACTAAAAATTTTTATTTAAATTCTTTGATTATGTAATTAATCTTACAGTTCTTTTCATAGATAACATTACATTGTATATATTAGCACCAGTAATATTGAATCATAACAAATATCAGGTTAATATCACTATAAAACTATTTATTTACAAACTCGATGTTACTGTGTCACTAGTGACATCTCTATCTAATGCAATATACACTACTAATTTGATATTCTTTCTTCATTTCTTTAAAAAAGCGTTATATTGTTACGAGCTTAGGGTTCGTGACAATAAAGACTGCCGATTGAATTACCAAAATTGACACTTTGATTACTGAACACCTATTAAAACTTAAATCACACTAATAATTAATCACACTTTACTACTTTAGTTCACTTTATTTCACTCCGAAAGCTTCGCTCGTATCGCCAATTCAATATTGCTCCGGTCGCGGCCCTAAATGGCATTATATAGGCCTTTTACACCGAAATATCGAGAATGTTCCAGCAAATACCGGTCCCGACCGATTAGATGTGGAAGATTCGAATGTGGAGTTATCTAGAAAGCTTAGTTCTTCTATTAGATAATAGGTGGCGCTAGTGCCATCAACTGTGGCGCGCAACAATACGAATAAACTTTATTAAGTTAACTAGTTGTGCGATGGAGCTCACAACAAACACTATTTTTTATTATTTTGAGTTATCATCAGGAAGATTCTGCTTTTTTCTGTCATTCTATTACTACTTACTAATTGTGTATGTAAATGTTAATACATCCTAAATATGTATTATTCACTTAAACAACCGACAACCTAACGGAAGCCTTCCTATTCTACATAGATGTGTAGCAAGATGCAACACTAATGTTCTGTACGTGGCAGCGTGTTGCAGTGGCTGCGGGAAGCGGAGACGGAGCCGAGTGAAGCCTGGAGGTCTGCAGGAGCCAGCAGCGGCCTGGCCGTCGTGGACCCGCTGGGAACATACGTCGCACTCGTCACGTGAGTATTATCTACCGGTTTATCTCAAATTCTAATTCACTTATTTGTAAAAACATAAATTTTGGACTATGCAAAACGACTTTACGTCACCTACTTAGTCATCAGTTCAAGATTATTTCTTGGGATTCAAAATGGGATAACCTGTATTACACAAACATGTTTATTTGTATGTGGCTGTAATGTGACATTTTATTCAATGCCCAAATGGTATACATATATGACAAATCAGATTGGGCCATATTACTTTAAGAAATTATTAAATGTTGAAACTTGATTTTATTTAAGTACTTGCTTTTGTGATCTTTTTTATTTAGGAATTTTCACCTAAGTTAGTTAGTATTTTAGTTAGTAAGTTAGTTTAAAATATATATATATATATATATATATATATATATATATATATATATATATATAAAACTGAAATGATTCATTTCAGTTTCCTGAGATTGAAGAAGATAGGGAGAATGAAGCCCACCTGATTTTTGCAGACATTTACTGTAATCAATAGACGTTTTGAGTACGTAGCTGTCATGATGTAGCGATATTCAAATGAAGAAGGCAAAGTAACAAAGCATCGACTGCTTTGTTACTTCTGAGGACTAAGATAGGATGCTTTACAGCTTATAACTGGTATAACTTTTAGGCTGGAACACAGAAGTGCAGTGATAGGACACTAAGGAATGGTTCAAAACTATTTAACTGGTGATTTCTTATACGCGAGCACTACACATTTAAATAATAATATTTTTTACGGATTTTATCGTGTTATTTTATATACCCAACGTTTCTAGCACTTTACAGCACCTATGGTCATGGCGGGGACTGAGATGTTCAACGTCCAGATGTCATAGTTAACCGTGGTTACCGCAGATCAAAATAATTAATTTTTGTTCCGATCTACACAGCATGAGCTTATAGTATCTTGAAGTCTTGCAGTTTTATGCTTGGGTTGGGATTTAATTTTATTAATTATAGGATCCCAAGCGGATGGTAGCGCCCACCAATCAGCCATCTTCGTTATTGAAAATAGAGTGTTTTGTTATTTCAATAGCCTCGCGAATCATCCTTGAAAGGAATCGGTGTTCTCTAGTGAGGATTTGAGGTCTATCAAATCTGATGTAGTGATGGGAGCCATCCTGTACGTGTTCACAGTCGGCAGACTTCCCGGAGCGCTGATTCTTCACATCAGCTATTTGTTCTTTTACGTGGGTTTTAATTGATCTTTTAGTTTGTCCTATGTAAGAGAAACCACATTCACAATCAAGCTTGTACACTCCTGCATCTTGCAGAGGGACATTACACTTAACTGATGGTAAAACAAGTGGCAGATAAAACAGCTTGAATTGGGAGCACTATGCTCGAATTTGTTGACGAGTACGTTTACCTGGGACAAATAGTCCGACTAGGTAAGTCCAATTTTGACCGAGAGGTCAATCGACGGATTCAACTCGGCTGGGCAGCGTTCGGGAAATTACGACACATCTTCTCGTCAGGTATACCTCAATCTCTGAAAACTAAAGTGTACAACCAGTACGTGTTGCCAGTGATGACTTACGGATCTGAGACGTGGTCCTTCACTGCTGGCTGTATGAGGACGCTCAAGGTCGCTCAGCGAGCTATGGAGAGGGCTATGCTCGGAGTTTCTCTGCGTGATAGACTCAGAAATGAGGATATCCGCAGTAAAACCAGAGTGACCGACATAGCCCAACGGATTAGTAAGCTGAAGTGGCAATGGGCCGGCCATATAGCTCGAAGAACCGATAACCGATGGGGAAGAAAGGTTCTCGAGTGGCAGCCTCGTACCGGTAAGCGTAGTGTAGGGAGACCCCCCACTAGATGGAGTGACGACCTGGTAAGACTTGCAGGAAGTCGATGGATGCAGGTGGCTCAGGACCGTGCTTTGTGGCATTGCTTGGGGGAGGCCTATGTTCAGCAGTGGACTTGTGAAGGGCTGTAATGATGATAATGATGATGATGGTAAAAACTGACCAATGTTCTTCGGCGGCTTGAAGTGATTTAATGGAAGCGCGCTTCACGATGTAGTCAATCTTGTCAGCGACTCCTCTAACGCCGGCAATAAACGTTGGCCAAGCCTCAGCCGACGCGAGCGCAGGCAAATTGATACAAGGCGAGTGCTACAGTCTACACGTTGGTCAAGTTCGAAAGAGACCAATGCCAAGGCCAATGTTCACGAGTTTTTGTGGAGCTATCCACATGTTGGCCGTAATTAGTTGTCATTGAGAATTGGGACGATATGGACGACGTAGAAATTATTGCCGCATCTGCAATTTATTTAATGAGTGCATATAATTATTATATCAGTGTACTCCGTAGTAAAGTCTTTGGGGTTCCAAATAACGGGTTCATTTTTGTATATTTCCAAAAACTTAAAGGTGTCCTCGTTAGTACAGAGTGACATTGTCGAAATTATTTAAACACAGAGTACTTTTTATATAGGATTTTAAAGTTGCAATTTAATTAAACAATATATCACCGGGACGGACGCCTCACATGGCCGTCAACATGTGGACACGACTTGCCGAGCATAAGCGAGCGCCTTTGATTTGTGCAGAAAAACTGACACCGTTCCGAAGTGAACGAGCCGTAGCGAGCGATCCCGAGTGGCGGCAAGGCACGCCAAACGAACCTTATACACCTTGGCGCTCGCCTGCACTCGGCCAGCTAGGCGAGCGTCGACGAGTAATGGCGAGGCTAGACCAATGGGGTGTCTATACGTTGGTACTCGCCTTCGCTCGGCCAACATGTATAGCCGGCATAACATATAACAGTACAGCAGGTACACGCTCGACTGCGGCCGGCTTCACTCGTTCACTGTGACGTGGTCGCGGGACCCGTAGTTTGTAGTCATGCAAAACTTGCTTGACGTGTTGGAGCTTGCCATCCACACCATCGCCATCCACAACGAAGTCGAAAATGGCCCGAATTGCTTCGAGGAAAGTATGGTACGGCCGTGCCGCTTTTTTGCTCGACTTGGCGACAGATTGGCTTCAAAAGCGTCGATTAGACCAAATAATTCCTGTAAATTTGAAAGTTGGTACAGTTATTCCTTAAGGTGTCCAGATGAATACTAAAAGTCCTCGAGGGAGGGATACAAGCCGGCGGTGGGGGAGGGGGAAATGTTCTCTTTTTCACGTTTTTTCTTGTGACTCGAAAACTATTTATAATATCTCTTTAGTGACTTCTACATTAATTAACTACAATTAATTTCAAATTTCAAAAATCTCTTTACATTTTTACTGTATGATCAACACTTTAGGAGATACAGAACGCCTACGAATTATGAAAACGGCAGCAATGATAATTAAGCAGGATGGCCAGGCATCAAGAAACGTTTTTGATTTGATCTACCCCTTTATATATAAGCTCGCGACATCATTGCGTCTAGGCAAAATGATCCGAATATCAAAAATATTATCGTGTTGGCGGGTTCCATGTGCTAACGTCTTACCTTGGGTGCATTGGAGACGTAATGGTAGGAAGTGTCCTAAGTGTTCTGCTATGCAATATTTTTGGTCACAACTCAATGGAACACATTTTGAGCGGCCATGCTACGCAAGAGCAGTTCGCGTACATTTATTAGTGTATTTATATATACCATTTTAAAAGACATGCGAACTGAGCGTTTATGTGAAGAAAAAATAATGAAAAATGAACAGTTGACTTCACTTCAATCAAAAATGATTAATAAATAAACTAAATGATTTAAAAGAAAATGGACCTACCGCTGCATTATGGATCCAATAGTACTATATGGTGACTATTATGAATCAGTTTATTGTTCCAGAGCGAGCTGGTGATTAGAAGAGTCTTTTTCTTTTTCATGCCAGCGGTCACTTTCCGTATTCACGATGTGCACATTTGTATCTGTAAGATATGATTCAGCTTGAAATCAGTTATTTGTAAAGAAAGGATATTTCACAATAAGAAGAGGCCATACTATTTGGTCTGGAGTTTGGTCAGACATGACTATAGAGCAGATCTTGATGTGCAGCATGAAGAGCTGTGGAAGAATGACCCGAGGAAGGGGATGGCTACAAGCGACGGTAGTAAGCAATGCCATCTGCTCTGCACTTTAGGTATTTAGTGGAGTATTTTTTCTGCAAGAGATCAACATGTAGATCTTCTTTTGTCTCGTCAGCTCAGGGATCAAGAGGATAGAAAAAAACTTTACGCGTGATTCATCCATTCCCAAAGATAGGAAACGTCACGTCCTATCAACTGGTATTGTTGGAAATAGCAAAGTTAATTGCCACCTTGCAGAAGAAATCGGTAAACAGCTCATGGAAAAAACGCTGGGAAATAACTTCGCAGACATAAAACTGCAGCATAAAGATAAGTTCTATCATTGGGAGCCATGCAAAGTGCTGTCAAGATCAGTGATGAGACGGTCTGTTTCGGCATTACCGCTATGGGACCTATAGAGGCACTCGTAGACGCGCGGATGGTCGTCGCTGTCTACGCGCAGCCATAAGATGGACAGGTCCGTACCTTTAAGGCTGCCGAGGTATCGAAAACAAATGTCCGCTCTGGCGTATATGCCAACTCCAGACCGGTGCACAAAGGAGTGTTCTAATTGTACCCGAGTAGGGATGATACGAAGTATCAGCCGGAGAGGATACCTGTGTTTCGGTTAGAAAGAGCAAGGCCAGCACTTGGTTTGAGTGAAGTTCCCTGATGTTGCAGAAATTCACGGATAGCGTGGCTGGGGGCGCCTTTGATTTATTGCTTTATTTTCCCCGAGCAGGTTTAGACTCGAGCGAAGAGCCTGAGCACGCACGCTCAGGAAGAATAGGGTATCTTGGAGGTGGATACTCAGCGAGGAATTCTCTGTAACCGGGGGTGTTGGTTCCCTCCTGTGCTAGTGTTATATTTAACTCCGCTACCATGTTAGGGGTGGGGCCCTTGAGCTTCCTTATACGGCCAGGTACGAGATACCATATCTCAGATCAAGACTTTTTGAAGTATAGAGGTATACCTGAAAAGAAGATATGTCGTAATCTCCCGAATGCTGCCCAGCTGAGCAGAATCCGTCGATTGACCTTTTGGTCGAAGTTGGACTTACCTTGTCGGATCATTTGTCCTAGGTTTACATACTCATCATCAACTTCGTACAACTTCGTGTTAATACATGGACGTTGTCGTTTTTAAGTAAAAAAGTAAATGTTTCAGTAAAAAGGATTTATCATTAAGCTGCTATTTTACACTAATATTCAGTAAGAGCGGGGTCCACTAGTGACTGAGCCAGCCCATTCCGGCTGCAACCACAATGTGGCTGCAGCGCATCTCCACAAAGTATAAAATATATGATATTATTTGCAGTGACAACCTCTTTATTTAAAGGCATTAAATAATTTTACTTGATTATTCTAATCAAAAACGTGACAGCATTGTGATTTTCAACTAATAAGTTAGGTGATAATTTCACCTTGTATAAAATTGCAATGAAATACTCAGACTTGGCAAAATAGATTGACCCGATTGTACGTTACACCTAAAATGCTGCTTGATATAAAAGGGAAAATATATTTAAAAACTGCTAATAGCTAAGGATGGGTACACGAACTGTGTGGTGATGCTATGTGAACTGATTCGATGAACAATAAAAATAAGTGTATGAGGCGAAAATTCTGATCGGGCGATATGTGCGGTTGCACCGTACACCGATGTCAAAGTTAGAAAAGTGAGTCAAACGTGAAAAAGTTTGCACGACGGAATGCAGAAACAGAGCTTCTACTTCACGCTGGTCTTCTGTGAGGTCGTGGTAACACCCCGATTCAAGCCGGCCCATACGTGCAACAGCAAAGGCTGCCGTGTGGTTCTACCGTTTCCGCAAAGCGGGCATTAAGTTTAGTCTTATCTATAACGGCTGCCTAGGAGCTTGTACTAATGGAGCCCCCATAGACAATATGATTGATAAGTCGGTATACTTGTGCAAAAAAAGTTGAATAATTTATCAGAATTAAGATTTGTATAACGATTTTGTTTCTTATTTTTATCACAGTTCACGTGCAGTAAAATGTTTAGACATAATTTATAGAAAATTTAATGTAGATAATTAATGTCGAAGTCACTAAAGAGATATTATAAATAGTTTTCGAGTCACAAGCAAAAAAACTTGAAAAAGAGACCTTTCTCATCCTCCTTCTCCGCCGGCTCGTGTTAGTCCTTCGAAGACTTACCAACTTTCAAAGCTATATGAATTATTTGGTCTGATTTCCTCAATTTTCCGAGGCTACTTTGCCTTTGAATGCAGTAAATCACATGATATTATTATGCGTGTGGTTTAAATGATTTGAAAGCTTAGTTCTTGCTTTAAAATTCTCTGGAGGCATGTGCTCAGAAGTTTGGTGCTTGTCTGTTGGTAGAGCGGTGTCGCAGAGTGGCGCTAGTGGCACGAGCAGTGCGGGCGCGGAGGCGGCGGGTGCGGGGGCTGCGGGGGGCGCGGCGGGCTGGCGGAGAGATGCGCCACGCGCGCGGCTCGATGTGGCGCCCGCGCTAATCGTGCAGCAGCAAGTGTGCGGTGAGTCAACTGCTCACCTGCACCTGCACTGCACCTGGCGGTGAGGGGCGGTGGCTGATGGAGAGATGCGCCGCGCGCGCCACTCGACGTGGCGCCCGCGCTCATCGTGTAGCAGCAAATGTGTGGTCAGTCAACTGCTCACGTACACCTGCACTGCACCTGGCGGTGCAGGGGCTGCAGGCAAGCGCTGCGGACTGACGGAAACGCGCCGCGCTCGCCGCTCGACGCTCGACGTGGCCTGCACCTGATATTTTTTTATAGAATAAGGGTGACAAACATCAATGAAAGCAAGTGAATGCTGGGGCCCATAGACATATACGTTTATCCTTGATTAAAAATTCAAATGCAGATCTGCCATTATCCCTGAGGATGTCTGTAGTGAAAAGGGTTTATAGTTCTCCACACTCACCATACGAAACACAGTTTCGAGGTGAAACACAGTAGCATTAGGCTGGTATTTGACGTTGGTATTATGTGAGAATGTTTTCCTTTCCCGGTGGAGGCAAGATGTTGAGAGGTCTGTAGCGTGGTGTGCGGGTGGTTGCAGGCACGCGGTACGTGGTGGGCGCGGGGTCGTGGAGCGCGCTGGTGCAGTGCACGGCGCAGTGGGCGGGCGGTGCCGCGCCGGCGTCCGGCGTGCGCGCGCCGCGCCTGCCCGCGCTGCGCGGCGCCGCGCCCGTCAACCTGGTGCGCGAGCAGGCCGACGCGCTGCTGTCGCACGCCGACGCGCGCGCCGGCCCCGACGGGCTCGCCGCGCGCTTCTAGTGCGCACACACGAGTACACGCGCACCATGCCACCGCACACAGCAGGCTGTGCCAGCGCGTCGACACGCTGCTGTCGCACGGCACACACGCACATCACCTAGAACGCACAGCTTTATCACACAAGCATGTGTACACATATACTCGCACACGCGCACAGAAAAATATTACTAATGTTAAACTAATAGCGACTGGCGCAGTAGGTGAGCATTGAAATGCAACGCTGATGACAAGATGATTGAAAACCGCTCGGAACTAGGTTCATATTATAGAAATTCCTACAGTTTAGTACACCATCGCTCCAACAAGTTGCAGTAGGGGCTAGTTGAAGCGATGGTGTAATGTTTGACTTTCAAAAATAAAAGTAAATTTAAAAAATATCACCTAAATCACTATTAAAGTGATTTGATGTAAATGCAAAACTTTAAAGACTAAATCTATTCGATTCCTCCTCGATTTAGATTCAAAATACAGAATGCGTTGCCATTCCTGATGACTTCACTCTTAGAGTGAGTCAGAGTCTTAGAGAGAGTTGCGTTGCGTCGTCGCAAACATTTTGAGGCATTACCGGCCACACTGACGCTACGTCATCGCAGCGTTGCCACAACGCAGTCGTAAAGTCCCATATAACTTCTCTTTCCTGAATTAATGAAATAAAGTATCCATACTATCAATTTTTTCAATACTCAATATTTATATTTTTTCTTCATTCTATAATACAAATACTGTAAATTAAACTCGAAGAAAAAATGCAATTAGCTTGCGTGCTATGAACATACAAACACTGAGGTTGCCGCTCCGGCGTCGCAAGCAATACACCCATTCCCCTTCGTCTCGCGGGCAGCCAATCAGTCGTGTGCGCGTTGCGTCAACGCAACCATGGTTATTACTGTGTAAAACCACGCAGTGACAGCGCTACGTCAACGCAGCGCACAGTGTGTACACCATGGTTATTACTGTGTAAAACCACGCAGTGACAGCGCTACGTCAACGCAGCGCACAGTGTGTACACCATGGTTATTACTGTGTAAAACCACGCAGTGACAACGCTACGTCAACGCAGCGCACAGTGTGTACACCATGATTATTACTGTGTAAAACCACGCAGTGACAGCGCTACGTCAACCGAAAACGCAGCGCACAGTGTGTACACCATGGTTATTACTGTGTAAAACCACGCAGTGACAGCACTACGTCAACGCAGCGCACAGTGTGTACACCATGGTTATTACTGTGTAAAACCACGCAGTGACAGCGCTACGTCAACGCAGCGCACAGTGTGTACACCATGGTTATTACTGTGTAAAACCACGCAGTGACAGCGCTACGTCAACGCAGCGCACAGTGTGTACGCCATGGTTATTACTGTGTAAAACCACGCAGTGACAGCGCTACGTCAACGCAGCGCACAGTGTGTACACCATGGTTGGCTATCTGTGTAAAACCACGCAGTGACAGCACTACGTCAACGCAGCGCACAGTGTGTACACCATGGTTATTACTGTGTAAAACCACGCAGTGACAGCGCTACGTCAACGCAGCGCACAGTGTGTACACCATGGTTATTACTGTGTAAAACCACGCAGTGACAGCACTACGTCAACGCAGCGCACAGTGTGTACGCCATGGTTATTACTGTGTAAAACCACGCAGTGACAGCACTACGTCAACGCAGCGCACAGTGTGTACGCCAGGTTATTACTGTGTAAAACCACGCAGTACAGCGCTACGTCAACGCAGCGCACAGTGTACACCATGGTTATTACTGTGTAAAACCACGCAGTGACAGCACTACGTCAACGCAGCGCACAGTGTGTACACCATGGTTATTACTGTGTAAAACCACGCAGTGACAGCGCTACGTCAACGCAGCGCACAGTGTGTACACCATGGTTATTACTGTGTAAAACCACGCAGTGACAGCGTTACGTCAACGCAGCGCACAGTGTGTACACCATGGTTATTACTGTGTAAAACCACGCAGTGACAGCACTACGTCAACGCAGCTCACAGTGTGTACACCATGGTTATTACTGTGTAAAACCACGCAGTGACAGCACTACGTCAACGCAGCGCACAGTGTGTACACCATGGTTATTACTGTGTAAAACCACGCAGTGACAGCGCTACTTCAACGCAGCGCACAGTGTGTACACCATGGTTATTACTGTGTAAAACCACGCAGTGACAGCGTTACGTCAACATAGCGCACAGTGTGTACACCATGGTTATTACTGTGTAAAACCACGCAGTGACAGCGTTACGTCAACACAGCGCACAGTGTGTACACCATGGTTATTACTGTGTAAAACCACGCAGTGACAGCGTTACGTCAACGCAGCGCACAGTGTGTACACCATGGATATTACTGTGTAAAACAACGCAGTGACAGCGCTACTTCAACGCAGCGCACAGTGTGTACACCATGGTTATTACTGTGTAAAACCACGCAGTGACAGCGCTACGTCAACGCAGCGCACAGTGTGTACACCATGGTTATTACTGTGTAAAACCACGCAGTGACAGCGCTACTTCAACGCAGCGCACAGTGTGTACACCATGGTTATTACTGTGTAAAACCACGCAGTGACAGCGTTACGTCAACACAGCGCACAGTGTGTACACCATGGTTATTACTGTGTAAAACCACGCAGTGACAGCGCTACTTCAACGCAGCGCACGGTGTGTACACCATGGTTATTACTGTGTAAAACCACGCAGTGACAGCGCTACTTCAACGCAGCGCACGGTGTGTACACCATGGTTATTACTGTGTAAAACCACGCAGTGACAGCGTTACGTCAACACAGCGCACAGTGTGTACACCATGGTTATTACTGTGTAAAACCACGCAGTGACAGCGTTACGTCAACACAGCGCACAGTGTGTACACCATGGTTATTACTGTGTAAAACCACGCAGTGACAGCGCTACGTCAACGCAGCGCACAGTGTGTACACCATGGTTATTACTGTGTAAAACCACGCAGTGACAGCGCTACGTCAACGCAGCGCACAGTGTGTACACCATGGTTATTACTGTGTAAAACCACGCAGTGACAGCGCTACGTCAACGCAGCGCACAGTGTGTACACCATGGTTATTACTGTGTAAAACCACGCAGTGACAGCGCTACGTCAACGCAGCGCACAGTGTGTACACCATGGTTATTACTGTGTAAAACCACGCAGTGACAGCGCTACGTCAACGCAGCGCACAGTGTGTACACCATGGTTATTACTGTGTAAAACCACGCAGTGACAGCGCTACGTCAACGCAGCGCACAGTGTGTACACCATGGTTATTACTGTGTAAAACCACGCAGTGACAGCGCTACGTCAACGCAGCGCACAGTGTGTACACCATGGTTATTACTGTGTAAAACCACGCAGTGACAGCGCTACGTCAACGCAGCGCACAGTGTGTACACCATGGTTATTACTGTGTAAAACCACGCAGTGACAGCGCTACGTCAACGCAGCGCACAGTGTGTACACCATGGTTATTACTGTGTAAAACCACGCAGTGACAGCGCTACGTCAACGCAGCGCACAGTGTGTACACCATGGTTATTACTGTGTAAAACCACGCAGTGACAGCGCTACGTCAACGCAGCGCACAGTGTGTACACCATGGTTATTACTGTGTAAAACCACGCAGTGACAGCGCTACGTCAACGCAGCGCACAGTGTGTACACCATGGTTATTACTGTGTAAAACCACGCAGTGACAGCGCTACGTCAACGCAGCGCACAGTGTGTACACCATGGTTATTACTGTGTAAAACCACGCAGTGACAGCGCTACGTCAACGCAGCGCACAGTGTGTACACCATGGTTATTACTGTGTAAAACCACGCAGTGACAGCGCTACGTCAACGCAATACCCTAAGATGTTCCATTCCAGTACCAGTACTCTATTAGAATGCAGTCCTCCCCTGATTATGCTACAATGATAATATTGTTGCACCGTGGCTCTACCACATATAAAAAGAAAAAGTTTTGTAAGAGGTAAATACCTTAAAGGGACCGAAAAATCTTTTAACCTCGAATGTATATAATATGTTGTTGTAATCCAATGTATGTATGTTGATCTCCGATGGAAAGTAAAGTAAAGTAAAGTTACAGCCTATATACGTCCCACTGCTGGGCACGGGCCTCCCCTCATTTCTGAGAGGGTTTTAGGGCAAGGAAGTGTCCGCCGCGCTCCCCCATTGCGTGTTGGCGAACTTCACATGTCTTCGTATTTATTTTTTTCTTATTCCTCAGACATGCAGGTTTCCTCACGATGTTTTCCTTCACCGCCGAGCACGTGGTAAATCAGCACTTAAAATTGCATTTAACAATTTCATTGGTGCCGGCGGGGATCGAACCCGGGTTACTCGCATTCTGTTATATTTACAGCGAGCGTTAACCATCTGAGCTACCACGGCTCTTCTCCGATGGATAACTGATGTAAAATTTTGAGACCCGCATAAACATTTTGCACAATAGCTTGCACTACTCGCAGTAAAATCTAGTATGTGACCACAATAATCTGACAAATAAATTGTAAACTGTAAGTCTTCCAACATTCTGTGATGTGATTTTTAAATTAAGCTTACAAATTATTTATACTTATATGCAAAGACTTGTATAATATTATGTCTGATATTTTGATGCTTATTTATTATATATTTATATTTGATTATATTAAAACTTTTTAAATAATATAAGTTCTTTTCTTATTTTTAATTGCCCTATGTGTCACAGTTGTCATAGAAATACGTATTATGATGAATTTTGTATGAAGAACAATTTGCGTTTTGAATTGTTGGCTTATAAGTAGAAAAAAATCTTTTATAATGTAAATGAAACTGGTAAACCAAAAAAAAATTACTTTCTTTAAATAGAAACATGTGTTTAACATATTTTTAATTTAATACTAAATTGAGGTTTGTACGTGCAAGTACATGGTATTGCAATGCAATACTTTGGGAAATATGCTGATATCGCGTCTGCGGCC